GCCGTTTTCTTTGGCTGTTAACTGAAAGGGGAATTAACTGGGAGAAACAATACATTTTGAGAAAGCAGAAAAAAGGATGTGGAATGCATTAGTGGGCAAGTTTTCAGGAATAGAAAATTATGTTTTCTAAACATTATGTTTTAACCTGGAAATCTATACAGATACAGTAGTCCTTGACTTACAGCAGTTCATTTACTGACCATTCAAAGTTTCAACGGCACTGAAAAAGGTGACTTATGACCATTTTTCACAGTTATGACCTTTGCAGCATCTCTATGATCATGTGATCAAAATCCAGATGCTTGGGAAATTGGTTCATATTTATGACCATTGCAATGTCCCGTTGTCATCTGATTCCCTTTTACAACCTTCTGACAAGCAAAGTCAATGGGGAAACCAGATTCACTTAACAACCAGGTTACTAACTGATCAACGGCAGTGATTCACTTAACAACAGAGGCAAGGAAGGTCGTAAAATGGGGCAAAACTCACTTAACAAATGTCTCATTTAACAACATTAATTTGGGGGGCTCAGTTGTGGTCATAAATCAAGGGCTACCTCTACTTTTCAACCAGCAGTGATGAAAACAATTGAGACCAATTTCAAACTGCTTTGGAGAAACTATGGAATAAGGATAGTCTCGTTGTTGGAGGGACCTTAGAAGTTAAATAGATATCAGATAGGTCTTCTTTTCCAGTGCCTTCTTGGTATGTTGGGACTTTGTGACTGGCCTGCCTACCATAACAATCAGTTATGCATGTCCATAAATGTATTATAAACATTCCAAACAAGTACAGTTGCCCAAAACTGTTTGAAGATGCCTGAACTAGGGGTGAGCATACAATGTGAATTGCCTGATCTACTCTCTACAATCTGTAGCCTTCCTAATCTTCTCTAATCAGGAAAATCCAGTGGTCTCTGATTCAGCGCAGCCTCCCCCAATTTAACATCTTTCAAATATATTGGGAGAATTGGCAGAATTCCCAGTTTTTAATTATTTTAGCTGGAAATTGCCGGAGATGCAGTTCCAACAGATTTAGGGAACAAGAGATGACAGCTTTACGCATCTTTTTCGGGAATTAAATTCTATCTAATTTTTAAGCAGGGTGATAGAATTGGAGTCGCATTCAACTTTCAATTCACGAAGCAGCTTGGGGAGAAAACAAATGTGTTCCTTACTGGCTTTAGATATTGTAACAAACCTGTTTCTCAACCATTTCCAGATCTGTGGACTAATAACTCCCACAATTCTTTAGATTGCAGAGCTATTGATAAGAATTCTGAGTTGCTTTACATATCTGTATAGGAAGTTAGCATCCACCCCTTTCCTAGAGGAATGAAATATTTTGGGAAATATTAAAAAGGCAGAATATTATGTTTCCCTGGATGAGAAATGGAGAAGCATGTTTTGAAGATGAAGCAGCTCCCATCTTCCTGCCCCCCACCCTTTGTCAATGGGCCAGAGGCAGAAACTCAATCTTTGTCAATGGACCATCATCTGCAACACAATAGGACCCATCTAGCAACAGAAACTCACCACATGGCACCTGGGAAGATTACATCAGCCAGCAAGGCTAGCTAAGACCCCCACCCCCTGGGAGTCTGACCACCAATCAGGATACTCTTTCGGTGCCCCAGGAAGTTCAAAGCCAGAGAGGGCATAAAACCTAGGGACTCACTGCATCTCGACCCCTTTCTGTTCGGGAACTCAAACCATGTGATCCTGCCCACCATTAAATCATCTTTCCAAGCAGTCTCCATGTTTCCAGTGTCTTTTTCCCCACTTGGAGCTGAACCCAGAAGGATAATTCTTCTAACATCTGGAAGTTGTCAAGTTGGGAAAAACTCGGCTAAGTCACGTGTTTCATTATATTTTGGCTTAGCATGGCATGAAAGTCATTGTGGTTTGTTCAGCTAACCACTGTTAAGCAGTTCCTTTGAAGGGTGGATGAACCCATTGGTGCCCAATTTGTGCTACTCAACACCTAGAGTTTTTGTATTATAGGACAAATGCATACCAGTTTTATTTAAAGATTGCATTTGGCTAAACTAAAATGTGATATATGTGCTGGGTTGTGCCAATGGAGAAAATGGTTTGATAAAGCGATGACTGTGGTGTAAATATTGCTGGAGGAAGCTACTCTGATGGTTTTACTCAGCCTTGTGTGGCAGCACTGTGACACTACCTACACTAGAGAACAACCCAGTCACAAACTGTCTACAACAGGTTTTTCAAGTATTGACTAATTGCAGAGGTGTAATCCTAATGACCATCCTAAACAGAACTGAAGTGGCTGTGAAATCTAATGGCCTTTAAATACAATTTTTCTTTTTTCAAGTGGGGGAATTTTGTTGCTTTCACAATGACCATGCCAGAGGTGGTATTAAGTCATAAGTTTATTTTGCCAAGCATATATAAGATAACAGGTAAAACATAATTTGAATACATGAAAAGAGTAAGTAAAAAGGAATATTAGGACAGGGACGGTAGGCACGCTGGTGCACTTATGCAGGCCTCTTACAGACCTCTTAGAAATGGGGTGAGGTCAACAGTAGACAATTTAAGGCTAAAGTTTTGGGGGTTTGGGGAAGAAATCAGAGAGTCAGGTAGTGCATTCCAGGCATTGACCACTCTTGTTACTGAAGTCATATTTTCTGCAATCGAGTTTGGAGCGGTTTACCTTGAGTTTGTATCTATTATTTGCTTGTGTATTTTTGTGGTTGAAGTTGAAGTAGTCATTGACAGGAAGGACATTGTAGCAGATAATTTTATATACTATGCTTAGGTCAGACTGAAGTCGGCATAGTTCTAAGTTGTCTAAGGTCAAAATTTGGAGTCTGGTGGCATAAGGTATTTTATTGTGGTAAGAGGAATGGAGGACTCTTCTCGTAAAATATCTCTGGACTCTCTTGATTGTATTTATGTCCGATATGCAGTGCAGGTTTCAGACAGATGAGCTGTATTCAAGAATTGGTCTAGCAAATGTTTTGTATGCTCTAGTCAATAGTACATTATCAGAGAAGAAGCTATGCAAGATTAGGTTAACAGCTCTTAATGCCTTTTTGGCAATGTTGTTACAGTGGGCTGTGGCACTTAGATCTTTAGAAATGAGTACTCCAAGGTCTTTGACAGAGTGAGGGTTCAGCAGGTTCTGACCAGTTCTGGAGAACCGGTAGTGGAAATTTTGAATAGTTTGGAGAACCGGTAAATACCACCTCTGATTGCCCCTGCCCCCATTGATTCTCTGCCTCCTGAGTCCCAGCTGATCTGGAAGAAATGGGGATTTTGCAGTAATCTTCCCTTCGAGTGGGGAGGGAATGGAGATTTTACAGTATCCTTCCCTTGTCACGCCCATCAAACCACGCCCACAGAACCAATAGTAAAAAATTTTGAATCTCACCACTGGTCCACACACGAAAATGTCACAGCCACCCAGCCACAAGCACAACTCAAGCACAACTTTCAGAATTTCCAAGAACATTAACGCATTTCTCAGTAACTCCCACACGCCACATCCTTGAAATAAACACTGGGTTTTTCTCTGAAAGTCTCGAGGAAGGATGGGGTTGCAAATAGTGGGAAGTGAGATAGGAGCAGGAAAGCCCAACGTTTTAGCCACCAGGACTACAGTTTAAAACAGATTTACAAGATAGATGCTTCAGGAAAAGGAGAGTTTGGGCTGGACTAATAAAAGAGCATCATGGAAAGGAGACATGATTTTCAGAATCCGAGGCTAGGGAGAAGTGAGAGGGTATTTTTTTTTGTCCTCGTATAAGTGCACATAAGTCCATTTTGGATGGCCCAAGCACAGGTAGGATATGAAGAAATAGCTATTACCTATTAGCATTTGCATCTTATCATATTGCAAAGCTTATATCCCAGTTGTTTCCTTATTTTTTTTCCCTGAGCCTCATCCAGCTATTACACAACCTTGCCAATATTTACAATTGTCTCCTTAAATGCTTCAAAGATTCCCTCCACTCAAACCTACTTATATTGTTTATTAGTATTGGCTTTCTTTTTAGCCAGCGATCTTCCAGTGCTTTCATTTTGATCTTTCTTTTGAAATATATTTTGTACAAATGCAGAAAACAAGAAGAAAGAAAAGAAAACAAAGTCAGATATCTTTGTATGTGAACCAAGCCATCATATTTACCGGTAGTCACTGCGTGGGTGGCTTTTCTTGAACAATTGTGATTAATAATTATAGTTCATGTGTGATTTAGAGCTTCCGTGGCTGTGGGTGTGGTTTTGCCTGTGCTTATAATGGCTACCTTTTAAATATCTATACATTTTGCTTATATGTATATTTTTCAGTCTTGTTTGGGGTGGGTTATTTTTTTAACAATCATAGTTAACGAAATATTCAAAACCAATTAATTGGCACAGTATACCAAATCATGTTATCAACATAACAATTTTAAATTGGGTTTTAAATTTCTGGGGTTTTAAAATTTAGCCGAATTTATTTAATAATTTTAAACTATTTTAACTGATGTTGTTTTGTGTTTTTAATAGGCTGTACACCGCCCTGAGTCCTTCGGGAGAAGGGCAGTATAGAAATAAAATTATTATTATTATTTATTATTATGAATTAACCATTAGACATGATTTGGTATGGTACTCCATGGTAAAATATGGTTGGCTAATTTGTGGCACTAATATATGGCGTGAGCATAGCTAGGGAGCTAATTACCCAGATAGACTAAACTATGTGAAAACACATTTCATATATAAAATGGAGCAAATATAGACAAACCGTGTCAATTATGCCATTATAATCCTCTCCATAATCTCCAAAATAGATTTCAAATAAAAGAATAAACTTAATTTTCCAAGATGATCTTAAGAGTCATGAAGAAATCTAATAAAAATAGTGACACCGAAATGAAATGCAAAATCATGTCATTAATGGCAATATCTCTGAAAGATAAAATACAATGCAGATTGAAAAAAAAAATGTAATTTCATTACGTACAAAACAAAACATGATTATTATTTTTAAAAAAAATATTTTCTGATGTATAGACTTTATTACATTAATATATACAGTAAGTACAAGCAGTGATCAAGGGAGGAGATAATCTATTGATTCTTGGATTTACGGAAAAATAAAAAGCCTCATGGAACATCCGTGGGTATCCGTAGTAATTCTTCAACTTCTTCTTGTAAAGCCTCAGTCTTCTCAGCCAGGAGCATCTGCATTCAAAGACAAAAAAAAGTCAAACAACTTTGTACTGTAGTGTATTTACTATGTATTTGAGACCCCATAGCTCCCAAGGTGGTTTATACAGCATTCATTTGTCTGTGGAGATTCTCAGTCATCCAGGTCATGGTTGTCCCAAAGGTGCTTTTTCCGAGAGGAGACTGGACTTTCTGGTTTTTCTTTGAAGACCTTTCGCTTCTCATCCAAGAAGCTTCTTCAGCTCTGACTGGATGGTGGGGAATGGAAGGATTTATACTCCTTGCAGACAGCTGGTCGTTTGCATTCTTGGTGTAAATCCTTCCATTCCCCACCATCGAGTCAGAGCTGAAAAAGCTTCTTGGGTGAGAAGCGAAACATCTTCAAAGAAAAAACCAGAAAGTTCAGTTGCCTCCTGACAAATCACCTTTGGGACAGCATTCATTTCTTAGAAGGCTCACTGGAGCAGAGACTAGACTGAACCAGGGATGAAATGCTCCCGGTTAGGACCGGATCGCCCGATCTGGTAGCGATGGCGGCAGGTGGTTCGGAGAACCGGTAGCAAAAATCCCTCCTCCCCATGCCCAGCTGAGCCACGCGATCATCAGAGGCTTTTTCTTTTACTTTTAAAAGCATTGTTTCTACAACCTCTTCGGCTGAAAAAATGCTTTTAAAAGTAAAAAAAAAAAAAAAAAAGCCTCTGATGATCGCACGGCTCAGCTGGGATCATCAGAGGCTTTTAAAAGCATTTTTTTTCTGCAACCCCTTCGGCCGAAGAGGTTGTAGAAAAAAATGCTTTTAAAAGCCTCTGACGATCCCAGCTGAGTTGCCTGATCATCAGAGGCTTTTAAAAGCATTTTTTTTACAACCTCTTCCGCCACTTTTAAAAGTGTAAAAAAAAAAGTTGGCCACGCCCACCCAATCACATACCCCCCCCACCCCAAGCCATGCCCACAGAACCGGTAGTAACAAATTTTACATTTCACCACTGGGCTGAACCTTAATGCTTATGAGACCTCCAATTTTATTTTCTCCCAGATCAATCAAAGCATTTAGGTTAAAAAAAAAATACCAAAGCACTTGCTTTACTTGCAACAAAGACAAAATCTACCATGTATTTATGCCTCATCCACAATCAGCACAAGTGTGCTGCAGATCCTAGCAATAGATAGATATGATCCCAACTACTGATCCTAGTACTGAAGGATTGTCTTTTTTTTAAGCAACCCACACAGTTCATCACAGATATCAATATATCTCTCTCAAAAACAGCACTGGACTTCATCCCAACTGCCCCCATCCATAAGACTTAGAACAGCTATTTAAACAGTGACAGGATGGCCACTTGCCAAAGATGGAGATTATTTTCATCCTGATTTCTACCGAGGACTATGTAAGACCTCTTCCCACTTAAAATAGAAGTTGGTCCAGAGTGTCTCACTACTGATTTACTTACCTTTGCAGATGAAACTATTTTCCTGGCCTGAGTTCTGGACATGTGTACAACACTCTTGACTAGAAGTTCTGGATCTGCATTGGCCAAGTGAGCTAAAGTTTTATAGCCTAAATTGTAGAGTTGCTTAGCTCGAGCCTGTGAAGCAGTGGAGAAGCTAATTAAAGGAGAGAGCTAAAGAATGGTTCAAGACATTACACATCAGGGGTGTCCAACCTTTAAGACCTGTGGACTCCCAATTCCCAGAATTCCCCCACCACAACAGACCCACAATGTCTCTCTGCTGAAAAATAAATAGCTCCTAGTATCTATCTTCACCCAGTTCTGTAAAGCGGAACTTGATCTCCAATAGCTAAGGAGGCAAAAGTTGAAGGAAAAGCACCCAAGCAAGGTACTTCTGAATTCAGGTGTGAGCTTTACCTTGAAGACACCTGTCAATGTGCCATTACAATGTTTTTAAACAATTTTTCTATGTTCGTATTATTTTTGCTGTAAGCCGAGAGTCCCTCGGGAGTTGGGCGGCATAGAAATGAGATAAATTAAATTAAATTAAATTAAATTCCTCTCTGCAACTGAAAAGTTTCAGGAAGCACAGGTGGTCCTCGACTTATGTCTGCAATTGAGCCCAAAATTTCTGTCGCTAAGTGAGACACTCGTTAAGTGAGCTTTGCTTCATTTTACAACCTCTCTTGCCACAGTTGTTCGGTGAATCACTGCAAGTTGTTAAGTGAAATTGGCTTCCCCATTGACTTTGCCTTGTCAGGAGGTTGCAATGATCCCGGGATATTGCAATCGTCATAAATACGAGACAGTTGCCAAACGTCTGAATTATGATCATGGGGCCATGGGAATGCTGCAATGGTCATAAGTGTGAAAAATGATCACAAGTGACTTTTTTTCAGTGCTGTTCAGTCACTAGGTCAGGGGTGTCAAAATCAATTTCATTGCGCGCCACATCAGGGTTGTGTTTGACCTCGGGGGTGGGGGGGGGGCGCGGGCAGGCTGGGGTGTGTGTGGCCAGGAGGGGTATGGTCAGTTTGACATCCATTTTTGGTTGCGACGGCCTCTTGCAGCCCTCTGCCAGCAAAAACGGAGCTTGGGAGAGCCGCGTGTGACCCTCCCGAGGTCCATTTTCTCCGTCAAAGGCACCGTGGGCCGGTCCTTCGCTGTTTCCAGGGTGGCCCCGTGGGCCAGATCTAAACACCCCATGGGTTGGATCTGGCCCGTGGGCCTTGAGTTTGACACCCCTGCACTAGTTGAACTGTTGAAAGTCGAGGACTACCTGTAGTGACCAACCAGAAGAAATTTTAGAAGTCATCCTTACATTCTGCTTCAATTTCTGAAAACCTTCACGGTTAACCTATGTGAAAAAATAATTCATATATAAACTGTCAAACTAGACTTTACTAACCTCCAAAACTCCCGCCACCTCCATAAGAGGAATAAGTTCTGCTTTGACACAATAGCTTAGTCTCTTGGTAAGTTCTGGCAAGAGGGCTTTATAAACCCAAAACTCATCCAGCTCCTGTAAGAAAATACATTAGCAACGTCTCTGTTGGTCCTTTTATTTAGAAAATTATCAATTAAACCCTGCTCAGTTTCTTCTCTTACTGGGATCCATTAGTCGAATCTAAATGTTTCTAATGGATAAAAAGATTAAATCGGGCCCTACATATTTGGGGCATATTACAATGTGTAATATTACATATTACTATGTGATAACATAACATCTTTCATGTTGTGATAACGAAAGAAAAACCAGCTGTTGGAGAATGTCAATACATTAGTGTATTTGCGAAGGGGAAATTTGAGTTTTGCAAGCCACCTAGAGTCATTGAAAGTGAGTGGGTGACCATATAAATTTCAATCAATCAATCAATCAATCAATCAAGAGATTGGTTTCAAAATGAGATACACAAAATTTCAAGAAGCCTGAGTCTTATTTTCAATTTGAAAACTGTTTAACAGGGGAGCAAAGTAATGCACTGATAATTGGTTCTAAATTTAAGAAGAGAAATTGTATAAGATGATTACCAAAGAAATAACGTTTTCCCCCAAAGAAAAGGAATTATATTTTTGCCTTGCAGTGAATTATTTAGCTGTTGTACGTTACCTCACAAAAATGCAAAACGGAGGAGGAGAATGAAGCCGCTGAATTGAGAAGAGATTGAACAAATCCTCGCGGTATGTTAAATTTTTCTGACACGTCCCATATGTTGGTCTCTCTTAACAAGGTATGAAGGATGAGGGACAGGTAAAGTCTATTAACAGTATTACTATCCAGTTCCTAAGAAGATACCAAGTTCATAAAGAAACTGAAAACAACATAAAAAAAATATCTTTTGCAAGCTTCTATTTCTTTAAGTTCCTTAAATAATGACAACATATTTCACAATGTAGAAACAATGAAGTGTATATCTAAGGGACATAAAGGTAAAGGTAAAGGTTCCCGTCGCACATATGTGCTAGTTGTTCCCGACTCTAGGGGGCAGTGCTCATCTCCGTTTCAAAGTCGAAGAACCAGCACTGTCCGAAGACGTCTCCGTGGTCATGTGGCCGGCATGACTTAACATCAAAGGTGCACGGAGTGCTGTTACCTTCCCACCAAAGGTGGTCCCTATTTTTCTACTTGCATTTTTTTACATGTTTTCAAACTGCTAGGTTGGCAGAAGCTGGGACAAGTAACGGGAACTCACCCCATTACATGGCACTAGGGATTCAAACCGCTGAACTGCTGACCTTTTAATCGATAAGCTCAGCATCTTAGCCACCGTGTCCTCTAAGGGACATAGTTACACTCATTCCCAAAATAGAATTTGCAATATAAATAAGGGAAATGTAACTGTAGAATTTTTCTGCTGATTCTGAGATTACAGTTAAAAACATTTTCCTGCTAATTCAGTCAACATATACAATTAGTTTAATTCTTTTGTATTTATACTATTCTTAGATCATGCCTCCAAATTTTGATCATTAGATCATGCATACATAAGATTACAATTGAATTTCACCTTTACTTCAATAGCATTTCGAGACTTATATACCGCTTTACAGTGCTTTACAGCCCTCTTTAAGCAGTTTACAGAATCAGCATATTGCCTCCCAACAATCTGGGTCCTCATATTACCGACTTCGGAAGGATGGAAGGCTGAGTCAACCTGGAGCCGGTCAGGATCAAACTGCCAAACTACTGGCAGCCTGCAGCCAGCAGAATTAGCTGCAGTACTGCATTCTAACCACTGTGCCACCATGGCAAAGAAATAAAGGCAACATATCTGAGTTTTCTCTCTCCCACAGACTCTACCAACTGTAGCTAGAGCAATAACGACAATCCCTCAAGGAGTGTCACTCGATGTGTTTTATGATACATCAGCAAGGAGATTTCAACATAGGATTCTCCAGAATTTCAGCAATCCTTGCAATATTTTCAAAATCCTCTTATTTAGCTGTTGCTAAATTTAACAAGGAGCTTAAATGGAAAGAGAAAGTGGGGAAGAGAAGAAAGAGAAACTAATAATCACTGAAATAAAGTGTATTTTTGTGGCGGTCATTCAGATACACTGTTTAATTAAACGAATCTTTGTCTTACATTCTTGATGGCTTGTCCAGATGCCTTCTTGGTAATAAAGCTCTCTGGCACTCCAACAGTGCTGGTTACTTGTTGTTCTATTGGACTTAGTTGATTGAACTAAAACAAACAAACAAATTATAATCAGCTCAGCTTCAAGGTTAAACAAATAGCAATGATAGGACCCAATCTATCCCTATGATGGCGGGCCTATCGCACGCGTACCAGAAGTGGCACGCAGAGCCATCTCTCCAGGCATGGGAGCCGTTGCCTGTTGCCCTTCTGGGTTCCGGCGTGCTGGCTAGCTGGTCTTCACGCACATGGGAGCGCCAGAAATTGGAAGAGCAGCCGCCCGGTGCACATGTGCACGCAGGGAAGATGATCTTCCGGTTTCTGGCATGCACATGCCCACTGGTCAGCTGATCTTTGCCAGCACATGTGTGCCAGAAACAGGAGGATTAAGTGCCAGTGTGCATGCGCGTGCCTGAAACCAGAAGATTATCTTCCCAGAGTGTGCATGCGCACCAGGCAGCTGCTCTTCCGGTTTCTGGCGGCTCTCAGTGCCGAAAAAGTTTGCCAACACTGATCTATCCTATTCTACATGAGAAATATTAAAACCGAGCTGTTGTATTTATTCAGCTTCAAGGAGGGGTGAATGCAAAGATATGGGCATCCTGGTGGGAAGGATATGGGTGGCTCACAATGTCAACATTACATAATACCCAGAAATGTATTAAAAAATTACAAAATAAAAAAAAAAAGATAAGAAACCAGAACTTAGAAACCTGCACCAGCAAAAACTTCACCTTCAGCTGTAACACACCCACCTCCTAAGCGAGATGAAACAAAAAATCTTTATCATTTTCCTGAAGCTCAAGTGGGGTGAAATAGACTGAATTTCTGCTAAGAGGGATTTCCATACTCAATAGGGGAAGCTACTGAAAGTGGACACTTGTAAAAGCTGGACAAGTGACAATCCTGTTAAGTAAGCTTTCTCTGTGATGGCAGTGGCACCCCAAATTGCCTATCCTCCTTCTCCAGGCAGGTGCATGGCAAAGACCTAGATCTTCCCCCTGGGCCATTTTGTGCTGTCCTTGACTAAATGTACTTCACATATGTTTTTCCCTTAAATAAAAACACTTACGATATATTTGGTAAAATCTAAATCTCTTCATAAAAGCCCTTAATTTTTAACTCATAAGGTAAAAAATATCTCCCAACAGCAAATGAACTTTCAAAAGATCTGAATCCCGTATCTGTATGATTTAAATTCTTCATTTAGCCTTTTGTCGGTACTGTATGTATAAATCAATCAATTTTATTTATACTGTAATGAGAGTGCCAAGGAGACCAAACACACAATTTTTGTATAGACAGAGAGGCTGTAAAAAATAAAACAAGCAAAAATCTCTTCCCAATGAAATTTAGTACCACAGAAGACAGGGTTTTAATTGTCCTGGTGTTTTTAGGAATACTCCTTTCTATTATTCTAGGCTTAGGGAGAAAATACCCATTGCTGCCTTTTTTGGGGAGCATCTTACCTGTTTAAAATAGACCATCCAATTTGGGCTACACTGAGGAATCATATCATAGGGTGTTATCAGGTAGATCAAATGAAGGTAGCTTTCGAGAATTAGTCCCTCAAGTCCTTTCTTCAAGTCTGCGTAGAGGGTCTCACAGTGTGCCAATTCCACTGAACCTAAAATAGGATTAAAATTAAGGATTACATGCAATCTGCATTCAGAGGTGAGTAGAGGCATCCACAGGATCTGACCCTAAAACAACGAAAGCAGCTCCATCCTTTCTGTGATGACCCGAGACAAGGCATGAAGGCCACACAGCCAGCTGAGAGTTCAAACTCCCCTTTAATGCTCCAACTTTCCCCCAAACACTCCCACGTTATGCAAGTCCCAGGTCAAAGCACGCTCACACACACACAGAGCAGCCCCTGGTTGTGAGTAGTCCAGCAAAATGCTGTTAGCACAACGGCTTCAAAGCAAGAAGTCCAGCGAGGCAAAGGAACAAGGAAATGAATCCACGAAGCAAGGAAGAAGCAATGAGTCCACGAAGCAAGGAAGAAGGCAAACAGTCCTGCAAACGCCAGACGTTGGCAACGACACACAAAACTCCACAAATTCAGCATTTGTTCACGACAGACGCCGCTCCCCACAGCGTCTCCTTAAGTCTCAGTCCCCAGGTGTGCTTCGTCCTGCATTCCTCCGAAGCAAACGAGGCCGCCCCCCCCCCCTCTGTCAGCCCCAGCTCCGGCTCATCGTCCTCTGCGGATTCAGTCTCCGATGGGGGCAGGACACTTTCTTATGCATGCACAAAAGGGGTGGAGCTTGCACTGCCCTGTCACTTTTATCATTTCTTCCCTCTGCCCCGTGATCTTCCCGTGGATAATTCTGGAAGTGACCACTTCATTCTGCTTATTGGTAAGGCCGATTCTGCTTAACTTCATTTTAACCAGTAACGTAAACATCTTTTACCTTTGTAGGTAGCTCGGCCCAACTGAGTGATCCCTAGATTATTCTGACAGTTCTTTTCGCCGTCAGAATTTTCTCTCTCTTTTAGCAGCCCGTTTTCTTTCAGCCATTGTAACGCTTCCATTGTTACATCCCGCAGGCTCTTGTTCGGCAGGAGCTGTGGCTGTATACTAAGTAAGGTGGCACACATGAACTGGTAAATTTCCTCAGGATTGTTTGCTATCTGTAACAGAATACCAAGAGTCAAATATTAAAGTAACTAAAGGCTTAGTTTGAGAGAAAAACAATTTATAGCCATGACAGAAGATAATTTTATCATTAGTTGTTTTACTTAAGAGAGTAAAAGGAGCCTTGATGGCACAGTGGTTAGAATGCACTATTGCAAGACAAACTCTGCCCACAGCCTGGAGTTCGATCTTGATAGGGCTCAAGGTTGACTCAGCCTTCCATCCTTCTGAGGTCGGTAAAATGAGGAGCCGGATTGTTGGGGGCAATAGGCTGACTCTGCAAACCGTTTAGAGAGGACTGTAAAGTGGTGTGTTATTGCTATTATTTCTAAGTTCTTACTTACAAACTGCTCTCTTTGATTTATCATTAAAGCATTGTAGCTGAAAATTAACATTTTAGAATTACCAACCTTTAAACCAACCACCGATAAGAGTAAACTTCGGATGCCCTTGTTGGAATCAAGCAGAAGAGTGCTGTAACAGCTTTCTAAGGGACTGGTTATTAAATTTTGAACCTTAAAACAAATTTATAGCATGTATTAATGAAACATAGTAACTGTGGAAAAAAAAAGTTATGATTCTGACATGTGTTTTTAACCTTACGAAATGCCTGCTCCATTATATCCGAGCATTATTTTAATTATCTCTCGCAATTAAAGTCTTGCTTTGTATTGTCTCACCAATCCAAGTCATTTATCAATAGGAACATTATCTTCTCAAAGGTAGCCCTATGCTTTTGCAGTATCTTTTCTCAAGATATATAACTATGCATTAACACTGGCTTTATAGTGACTGCATTGTAATATCAACCTGTTCAAGAAGATGCAGGAGAATAGAAAAAAGACCTGCTTTTAAGTTTTTGTGATGCAGGACCAGGGGTGAAATTCAAAAATTTTCCCTACTGGTTCTGTGGGCGTGGCTTGGTGGGCGTGGCAGGGGAAGGATACTGCAAAATCTCCATTCCCTTCCCACTCCCGGGGGAAGGTTACAGCAAAATCCCCATTTCCTCCCAATCAGCTGAGACTCGGGAGGCAGAGAATAGATGGGGGCGGGGCCAGCCAGAGATGGTATTTGCCGGTTCTCCGAACTCCTCCAAATTTCCGCTACCCGTTCTCCAGAATCTGTTAGAACCTGCTAAATAGCATCCCTACACGGGATTACTTAATTGTTTTAATTAATGAATAAATACAATTGTCCTTGAATGCCATGATCCTGTCCTAAAGTGATGAAAAGAGGGCACTCTTTCTACTAAAGCAAAGAAGCAAACATTTGTAAACTTAGATTATGATATTACTTGGCAGTGACATAATTATGAGGAACTTACCATGTTTCCCTGAAAATAAGGCCCTGTCTTATATTTTTTTGAACCCCAAAATAAACACTTGGCCTTATTTTTGAGGAGGTCTTATTATTTTGGGGTGCGTGGAGCAAGATGGGGCTCCTCTTGCCATCTTACCTGATTTCCAGCTCTGTCTCCCAGGGAGGGCTTATTTTCAGGAAAACAGGGTATTTGTCCTTCTAAAGCAGGGGTGTCAAACCGGCGGCCCACGGACTGGATGTGTCACGCACAGGCCATGTTCACCCTGGCTCCGCAAAGGCAAAAATGTCGCGATACATCGCAATACGTCACGTGACGCAATCGAGTTTGACACCCGTCTTCTAAAGTGGATCTATCTTTAAATGTACTTGGTAAAAGAAAAAATAAATTATTTCAGACTAAGGCCTTATATAGAACTCCTCCCACTACTATTTAATCAATTAATCCTGATGACTTAAGTTACCAGTTCTTTGTCTTTCTCTTGTACAATCAGAATGCTTTCACCAGCCTTGTCAATGCCAGCACGACCAGCTCGACCAATCATCTGTTTATACTGGTTCTTCTTCAAGAAGTCTGTAGCAACATACGGTGCTCTTAAAATAACCCTGTGGAATCCATGAACATGTACTTTCATTACTTCTCACTTATGTCCATTTTTTTTTCTTTTGTCATTAAGCAAAAGTGCTTGAAAATACTGTTAAGGCAATTAGTGCAAAAAAAAAAAAAAAGATTTTACTGAACGTTCTTCAACAACAGACGAATCATTAGAATTTCCATAACTTCTGTTTGAAAAAGCCGATTTGGCTACTTAAGGAGCATCGCTCAGCTCTTGGGTCACGCCACGAGATCGCTTTTTTGTGGATTGAGTGAAAGAAACATTACGAGTTTTTACCACATTTCACACAATGAACACTGAAAAGAAAAGCCAGTACTACAACCTTCGAGCGGGCAGGTTCACTCCCGCAGCAAGCGTAGATGTGCAGGTTAGCAGGCAGAGGAGGCCTGAGGAATAAGCCGCTTCTATACACTTCCGCTCATCGCTGGTGAGACCGCTGTGGTGGTAAGCAATTCCAAACGGAATCGTCCGCTTCAAAACCGGGCAAAGTTTCCCACTGCAGATGTTTCTTAACTCTTTTAGAAGATGGTATTTTTCTTTCTCCTTGACCTTTTTAAGGTCTCTAAGGAAAGAAAAGGTAGTATTAGACAAAGGGGTATACTTCTTGGGATTTTTTGTGGCAAACATAACTATTCTTTTCATCTAGGATGAACAAGGAGCGATCAATTACAACATGTACCAAAAGTTCAAATGTAATATTATTATTATTATTATTATTATTATTATTATTATTATTATTATTATTATTATTATTATTATTTTATTTCTATACCGCCCTTCTCCCGAAGGACTCAGGGTGGTGTACAGTCTATTTAAAAACACAAGACAAACATCAATTTAAAATTTAAAATTATTAAATAAATTTGGCTCCATTTAAAACCCCAGAAATTTAAAATACCCCAATTTAAAATTATCATGTTGATAGCCTGGCCTGGCGGAACAACAGGGTCTTCAGTGCACAGCGAAATACCCGGAGACTGGATTCACATGACTGATTTTTCACTTTCACGGCCACATTCTGTGGTTATGTGATCTTGATTTTTGAAGGGGGTTTTTTGGGCAAATTCTGGGGTTTACTCAACTTAAAACTGTCCAGGGTTGAGAAACACTGATTTAATAACTAAAGTGCATGTAAGAGACGTACCCGTTTATGTGTTTGCATATCATGCTTGCTACATTTTCACAGTTCTTTTTAGTAGGGCAGAAGACAAGGCAGGAGTACTTGGGAATAACCTCCGTGACCAATGCAATAAGATGATCAGGATCTACCTTCTGCAGTTCACTAGAATACTAAAATATTAAGCAGAGTTATTTCTACATGGAAGCAAATTGTTGTAATCTCAATTTGTCAAAGTATTCATTCTAAGCTTCAGTATCTCTAATGGAATATAAAGAAAGCAAATGACAAAACTATCCCTACTTCATAACTGAGTTCTTAATACTTGCTTTTGATGTGCTTAATCTACTAAATAATTTCTAAAAAAAGAAATACAAGATAAGCATTTAATTCTTCAGTGGGTTAAATCTCCCGCTTGAGGCAGTAGAATCAAGTTCAGCAAAGCACCACAATTAAATCATGCACAAAAAAGGGAACAAATAATTTGAATATTAAGTACAGGTAGTCCTCAACTTATGACCACAATTGAGCACGAAGTTTACGTTGCTAAGTGAGAAATTTGTTAAATGAGTTTTGCCCCATTTTACAACTTTCCCCACCACATTTATTAAGTGAATCACTGCAGTTCTTAAATTAGTAACACAAATCTGGTTTCCCAGATTGACTTTGCTCGTCAGAAGGTCGCAAAAAGGGATCACGTGACCCCGGGACAGTGCAACTGTCATAAATGTGAGTCAATTGTCAAGCATCCGAATATAAATCACATGACCCATGGGGATGCTGCAACTGTCATAAGTGTGAAAATTGGTCTTCGGTCACTTTTTTCAGTGCTGTTGTATCTTCGAACAGTCACTAAATGAGCTGTTGTAAGTCAAGGACTAACTGTATATGTTGTTTATTTATGATATTTTAGAGTACAGGTTCCTAAACTTTTTGCCATCATACTTTCCTTTAGTGCAGCATTTCCCAATCTTAGCCATTGGAAGATCTGTGGACTTCAATTTCCACAATACCCCAGCCAGCAATGTACCGTATTTTTCGGAGTATAAGACGCACCTTTTTCCCCCCAAAAAGAGGGTGAAAATCTGGGTGTGTCTTATACTCCCAATGTAGCCCCGCCCAGCCTCTCAAATGGAGCTTCAGAAAAAAAGCCTCTGAAACGGAGCTTCAGAAAAAAAGCCTCTGAAACGAAGCTTCAGAAAAAAAAGCCTCCGAAGCTTCAGAAAAAAAGCCTCTGAAACGGAGCTTCAGAAAAAAAGCCTCTGAAAAAAAGCTTCAGAAAAAAAGCCTCTGAAACAGGTTTCAGAGGCTGAAAAAGCAAGGCGCAGAGCTCACAACCAACGAACCTGTTGCTAAAATTCACCTCTGGGAACAGGTGATTGGGGGTATTCTGGGAGGTTGATCCACCCGCCAATCAGCTTTTTTCTTATTTTCCTCCCCAAAAACTAAGGTGCATCTTATACTCTGGTGCGTCTTATAGTCCGAAAAATACGGTATTCTGGGAGTTGAAGTCCATACATCTTAAAATTGCTAAGGTTGGAAAATACTGCTTTAGTGTCATCTTCATAAACACAGTTCCCCTAAAAACACAAATACAAATGAGCAATGAATAAAATAGAGCTTTATTTTAATAAAGAAGACATAAAAAATAAAAAAAAAGGCCAAAGTTTGTGCCTCTTCTAGCACCATGTTACTCATTTGAAATATTTGGAGAAAAGTAAATTTATTTTAACAATGTACCTGTCAGACCTGGAAGCCATCTTTTGGCCTTTGAGACTTCAGGCCTGCCAAAAATTCTACTGTGGGAAAATGGGAGGGGGGATTGTATGGAGTGAAGATGATATGTAGTCAAAATAACACTCTTTCTAGACAGTCAAGGCCGTTGTGTCCTGCAGCTGTGCTGAGAAGAATGGGGAGGTATCTTCTGTTCAGGAGGGTACCTGATTGGTTCATGTGATGGACATGTGGGTGAAAGGCAAGGACTTGAACTTTCTTTTGGGTGAAGAAAACCTGGAAGCTCTCAGATTCGGGTTCTCCCAGATGTGCCAATATGACATCTCTAATAAAAATTAGCTTTGAGGAAATTTAAGCCTCGGAGTTTGATTTTGTTGGGGGTGTTACTTGGAACTCTGACAGTACCATTAAAAGATTCTTCACGTATCTCCTGGACACTGTCTGCACCTCCTCAAGGAAGGTGTGCGGTACACTTCGGGAGGCCCCGTTTTAGAGACTGTTATGGTGCTTAATAATAACAAGTGACATGAAAAATAGCTTTGGAAAAAGCTGTGGTTGAAAATGAAGCTGCCAACGGAAAAGGAAATATCTGCAGATTTAGCTACATTACCTTGAAATCAAGGAGCCGTGAAAACTTAAGGCCATTTTCCGCTTTGCTATCGGTTTCGTAGATGCTGTCCTGTATTTTAACATATTCTTTCAATTCAACCTGTATTATGGAAAAGTAGATTAAATATTTGGATTAGACCATGAATGTGCAGGTAAATCCTTGACGTGCAACCACAATTGAGCCCAAAATTTTCGCTGTTAAATGAGGCATTTGTGAAGTGAGTTTTGCCCCATTTGACTTTTCTTGCCTCCGTTGTTAAGCGAATTGCTGCAGCTCATAAATTAGTAACCCCGTTGTTAAGTGAATCTGGCTTCCCCATTGATTTTGCTTGTTGGAAGGTCGCAAAAGGGGATCACGTGACCTTGGGACCCTGCAACCTTCGTCAATAGTGGCCAAGTGTTTGAATTTTGATCATGTGACCATAGGGAGGCTGCAACGGTCGTAAGTGCGAAAAACGGTCCTAAGTGTCACTGTTTTTCCCCAGTGGCATTGTAACTTTGAATGGTCACTAAATGAACTGTTGTAAGTCGAGGACTAACTGTAATTGGAAAAGGCTGTTAGAAAATAATTTTTCATACTGTAATCACAGCGACATAAACATATTTACATCTCACCTTTCCTATGCAAGCCCAAGGAATCTATGTGACGTGACTTTTTTTTTATTCCTGTGAGGTGTTTTAATATTCAGTGACTGGTCCAAATCACCAATGACCTCCAGGACTGAGGACTTATATTTAAATCTCCTTTGATTTCAGTCCAACAACTGAACTCCTGTACAGATTGTCTTCCACTTACGACTGGATGCTTAGTGACTGTTTGAAGTTACAATGGACACCCTCCACCCCCACAAAGGTACTTACAACTTGATTTCAAAGTTACAATGGCTGAACTCCTCTCTGCATTTGGGCACTTAGTATGTGACCAAACCTATTTTTTTGCCTGTTTCTGGCATTTATTTCTGATTTTCCGGCAAAAAACACCAATTGTTTTTTTTTTGGATTCGCTTAATGACTGTGGCGCTCGTTTAACAACTGTAGCATTTGCTTAGCGACCATTGCAAAAAAATGTAAAATAAGATCCAGTCATATGGTGACCCATTTAATGACTGCAATGATTTACAACTTTAATTTTGGGGCAATTATGGTCGTAAATCGATGACTACCTATAGTTCCTAGATTTTTCTCCCGAGTAAGCACATCCATTGTTCTTGTTGGCTTTTTTAAATATAGCAAACTAGATATTTCCTAGTAGAATACAAATTAAATTAAGATGAGCATTTCCCCTACTGTTTTAAGAAAAAAAAAAAACCTTTATGTTTCTTCTTCTACAAACAGTTGTGACAAGAAAGTAAAAATATTTTCAGGTCTTTCATAAAATAAATGCAAACATCAAAGTGACTTAACAACAGATCCAACCTACATTTTCAAATCAATTTCTCCATTTTTTGCAAGGTGAACACACCAAATTCTCTATAGAATTTATGACACTCTGTTATTATGTAACAATTATTTCTGAGAAAGTTCAATACATTTTTAAAAATTCAATAACCTACAGGTCTGAAATTACTTGTGTAGAATTCTGCTTTCAGGAACCGCTGTAAGTCTTCAACATTTCTTAAGGTTGCACTCATTCCAATGATCTGAGCTGTTTCTATGCAAGAATGAAACAGAATCAGGCTTAAATCCTAAACATGCATGCTTAAGAATTTAAATATGCAAGAATCTATTATTACAAACAAAACGTCTTACATAAAAATATTATGCTTTCATCTCAAGATCAATACGATTAAGAGCCTTGGTGGCGCAGCAGACTAAAGTGCTGTTAAGTAGCACCAGCTGCCTGCAATTACTGCAAATTAAAATCTCACCAGGCTCAAGGTTGACTCAGCCTTCCATCCTTTCGAGGTAGGTAAAATGAGGACCCGGTTTGTGGGGGCAATAAGCTGACTCTGTATAAAAAAGAACACCGCTTGGGGGGGGGGGGGGGGGGGGGGCGAAAGCCCTACTAAGCAGGTATATACAAAAGTATGAAGGCTATTGCTTAGCGCATTGTAAGCTGCCCTGAGTCTCCGGAGAAGGGCGGCATATAAATCGAACCAACCAACCAACCAACCAACCAACCAACCAACCAACCAACCAACCAATAAATAAATAAATAAATAAATAAATTTTTCCAACTATACTAAAAAAGTACGCCTTATAGTCTGAAAAATACGGAAATCCTTTCATGTTATCTGTTTCCCCCAAAATAAGACCTATCCAAAAAAATAAGCCCCAGCATTTTTTTTAACCCATGCATCTAATATAAGCCCTACCTCCCCAAATAAGCCCTATTTAAATGCCTGCGCAGCCGCCCGCCTGCCCATTCTGTCTGGTGGCTCGCGGTGCCGACATGAGGTGCGGGGGGGATGGAGCTGCCCCATGCGCCCTGCACTGGCTTACATCAGGGCCCCCGCAGCCAGGCCATGCACGTCCCAACACCTGCCTCAGGGCAGCGGCTCTGGCAGCCTTGTCCGGCAGAACACTGCGTGGCTGCTGGCCCACTTCTACTGCTCGTGGCCGCAACGGAGTAGAAGCTGAACGACACACCAGTGCCGTGGCCACAAGGCAGTTGTTGGCGCGTGGATGGCCTTATTGTGGGGGCCCTGAGGTAAGCCGGTGCGGGGAGCATGGGGCAGTTCCATCCCCCCCACTTCATGTCGGCACCGCGAGCAACCAGACAGAATGGGCGGGTGTGCAGGCATTTAAGTAACGCTTATTTGGGGGGTAGGGCTTATATTAGGTGCATGCGTAAAAAACATGCTAGGGCTTATTTTTGGGATAGGTCTTATTTTGGGGAAAACAGATAACATAAAAGGATTATCTTACATTTCCTGAAATTATTGTAAGGGAGAGTGGCAGTTTACCCCTATCCCTTGCCTCACAGCAGCAGCACTGACACACCATGCTGTCTCCTGCCCTGCCACGAGCAAGTAGAAGAAGTGGGCCTCCTGTACATGGAAAAAATAAGACATCCTCTAGTACTTATTTCAGAGGCCAAAATAAAATAAGACTGGGTCTTATTTTTGGGGAACCATGGATGGGTATTTGGGGAAGAGTTTTCTTTTCAGGTAAATAACAGTGCGTGGTCTCTTTTGTAGGTTTCTGAAATAGTCATAACTAACCTATGAGTATACAGTATAGGAAATTCAGAAGATGTCTTTCCAGATATTATACAGAGTTAACTTACTGCTTGCATATAAAATCTTAGAAAGGGTCATTTCTAGTATCCCGCCACGGCCACCTTCTCCAAGCATATGCAACTTTAAATGAGAAAAAAAAATATATTAAAAAAAGTCACAAGGCTGCAAAATAATTTACGGAGTACAAACAAGTAGGAAACACAACGTTTTTTATCATTGTTTAGTAACAAACCTCGTCAACTACTACTAGACCCAGGGTGTCGATTCTTCCTGCTTCTATCAAGGCATTCACCAGGCTGTGTCCCTTTTCAATAGTAGCAATGTACACGGATTTCTTTTGCCTTCTCTTGATTGGAGGAATCCTTCCTTTACTCCCTGCATATTCTTCCACCAAGAAACCGAGTTCCATTCCAAAACCACACAAACTCCCAACCTAGAATATGAAGGAAAAAAATAGCAGTAGCAATTAAGATTTATATACTGCTGTTGTGACCTAGGCTTCCCCAGAAGCCGAGTCCTCGTCCCGATAAACCCCTTTTATTTAATTTACAGTGAATTCCTCTCCAGCAAACTCTTTCCTCTCCCATAGTCTTTCAAGATAGTTCACAATTACCAGACGCCACAATAGTTGGCAAGAATGCAGGAATGAACTAATTGTCTCCTGCAAACACCCCTCCCCTTTTGCTCCTCTTTTATTCTCTCTGGGAGGGGCCCTTCATCGTCCACCTGTGGCCTTACTCCCAAGTCGACCCTTGTTCCTTATCTGTTCCCTTCATCTGGCAACTCTGCGCATGCGCACACTGGGAAGAGGCTCCAGTTGTTTGTCTGTCTCACTGATGTCTCACTCCGAAGGCAGCTGATACCTGTCATATGGCCCTGGCCCCATCTCTGCCTCCGATGCAGAGTCCTCATCAGAGCCTTCCCCAGACTCCAGGACTGGCCCATGTTCCTCCCCAACCACCTCACTGTCCGAATCTGCTGCTGGGGGCCCACAACTGCTTCACAGTGCTTTACAACCCTCTCTAAGCTGTTTAAAGTCAGCATATTGCCCCCAACAATTTGGGTCCTCATTTTACCGACCTCGGAAGGATGGAAGGCTGAGTCAACCTTGAGCCTGGTGGGATTTGAACTGCCAAATTGCAGGCAGCCAGCAGTCAGCAGAAGTAGCCTGCAGTACTGCACTCTTAACCACTGCGCCACCGAGGCTAATTTTACAATGGTACAATTTCACAACAGCAAATAAAATGTAGGCTGTCCGCCGCCCGACCTCTAATACAGGTAGTCCTCAACTTACGACCAGAACTCAGCCCCAAGTTTCCATTGCTAAGTCAGACAGTCACTAAGTGAATTTTGTTTCATTTTACGACCTTTCTTGCCGTAGCTGTTAGTGTGAAATCACTGCTAAGTTGGTAACATGGTTGTTAAGTGAATCTGGCTTCCCCATTGACTTTGCTGGTCAGAAGGTCGCCAAAGGGGGGGGTGTCATGTGATCCCCCCCCCCCGGATACTTTAACCATCACAAATATGAGTCAGTTGCCAAGCATCCGAATTTTGATCATGTGATCATGGGGATGCTGCAACAGTGTGAAAAATGGCCATAAGTCAATTTGTACAGTGCCATTGTGACTTCTAATGGTCACAAAATGAATAGCTGTAAGTCAAGGACTACCCGTGCCACAGAATTGAAATTTCAGCTGTTCAAATCCAACCCAGCATTTTATCCTGCCACAACTGGAGCCCTCCCTGTGGATGGGAGTTAATCAAATATCATGAGATGGATGAATATCAAGCTGGTTTTCGCACCTTCTCCTGGACTAAAGCCACGTAAGGCAGGATCATCAAAACATCCATTTGTTTGCAGAGTAACTCTCGAAGAATTAGAATCTCGGCGACAAGTGTTTTTCCACCACTGGTCGGCAAGGAATATATCAAGTTCTTTCGCTTTTGTAGCGATTCAAACGTTAAGCAGTCATGCTGCCAGTCTGTAAAATTAAAAGGCATTTCTTATAGTTTTCCTTTCCTGGGTGAGCATTCACAAGTGATTCATGATGAAAATTAATCTGTTTGGGGATTCTATCAAAACTTGGCAAACTACAGGACCTTTAACAAAAACTCACTTATAAATGGCACTATTTTATAAGTACCTGGGAAACAATTAAAAAGAACTTGCTACTGAAGCGTTGCCATAGTAGATATATGAAATGAATGTCAGTATTATGAAATTAATGTGGGAGTGGTGCGGTGGCCAATCAGGAGCCTGTGAGTTTGATCCTAGGTAGAGGCAGTGATCCTACATAGAGGAACGCAGTGTAGGATCTACCTAGGTAGATCCTAGGTAGAGGGACACGGTGGCTCAGTGGCTAAGACGCTGAGCTTGTCAATCAAAAGGTTGGCAGTTTAGCGGTTCGAATCCCTAGTGCCGCGTAACGGGGTGAGCTCCCGTTACTTGTTCCAGCTTCTGCCAACCTAGCAGTTCGAAAGTACATAAAAAATGCAAGTAGAAAAATAGGGACCACCTTTGATGGGAAGGTAACAGCGTTCCGTGTGCCTTTGGCGTTTAGTCATGCCGGCCACATGACCACGGAGACGTCTTCGGACAGCGCTGGCTCTTCGGCTTTGAAACAGAGATGAGCACTGCCCCCTAGAGACGGGAACGACTAGCACATATGTGCGAGGGGAACCTTTACCTTTTTAGAGGCAGTTATTTCTCTCTCTGGCCGCAATGAGAATATATCTGCTGAACAAAACTTTGCATTGGCGACAAGAAGGGCATCCGGCTAGCTCCATTCAGTTGCCCAGACACCACCCCGCAAGGGATTATGAGGTTGTTAAAAAATGATGATTATGAAATTAATGTCAATTAATTTCAATGTGTCTGATCTAGTATTGACAAACCTGTGTAACTGTAATCACAGTTATGGTTGTAAAATAATGTATAATAATTGGTTTCAGAAACAGAACAAGCAAAGATTGCACCGAACTGGAATTTATCATAATAGCAAAGGTCATAGCAAACAGAGATTGGTGATATTACCATAAAGCTTCTCAATTCCTCTGATCTGTAGCAGTAGCTCCTTGACTTTGGTGGGTAAACCGTAGAAAGGGCCAATGTCTACGAAAGCCAAGTTGTCGTCAGTTGTCTCTGCAACAGCCATTTCTTCAGTTGCAATAGCTTCTTTCCGCTGTTTGCTTTTAGAAACCAACGAAGCAGAGGATCTGGCATTCCCAGCCATGGCATTTTTGAGATGGTCTTTGAGACTCTTCCGCCTACCTGGTTCAAACACTGACTTACAGTCTTGTTCATTAGCCTCTGTGTCACTGCGGTACGGCAGATCTGAGAAGTCGAGCTGACAGGGTATTTCTTTTATGACCGTTGCTGACTGAGAACATTCCTCTGAATGTTGACGAAAGAAAAGCTGGGAGGACGGAAGGCTTTCTAAATCATTATCCTGAGGCTCTGAGCTATTATCCTGTTCCTTCATCCTTTTCCAAGAATCATATTCTCGTATGTCTCTGGAGCTAATTGCAGTGTTTGTCTCCGAAAATACCTGTGCCAGGTTCCTGGCATTTGACATCTGAGTAACTCCACCTACAGGCTGCACAGCAATGTTGCGATCTAAACTGTCAGAATTCGGACTATTTGTACTAAAGTGCACGTGCTTTTGCTCTAAATCATCTATTTCAGTTAAGAAAGAGTTGTTGGCAGAAAAGCTGTCATAGTCTGCAAACATATCATCGCTGTCAAAATACTGAAAGGAAAAAAAAAGGTGAATGAGACTTCTAAATACTAAGCATTTATATATTGGATGATAAAATAGTCATTCTTTTGGCAAAACATACAACTATGAGGATTAAATAGATTTTGTCATTTTTATAAACTTCGGAGTCCTTCCCAAGGATCTGGGATAGGCAGGTGATGTTAAGAGATGTAAGCTGGTCTGAGTAAAGCGGCCATCTGTAATTGACTGATGGTAAATTTGTCAATGCCTATGGTTCAGTGGCTAAGATGCTGAGCTTGTCGATCGAAAGGTTGGCAGTTCAGCGGTTTGAATCCCTAATGCCGCGTAAGGGGGTGAGCTCCCGTTCCTTGTCCCAGCTTCTGTCAACCTAGCAGTTCAAAAGCACGTAAAAAATGCAAGTAAAAAAATAGGGACCACCTTTGGTGGGAAGGTAACAGCATTCCGTGCGCCTTTAGCGTTGAGTCATGCCAGCCACATGACCACGGAGACGTCTTTGGACAGTGCTGGCTCTTTGGCTTTGAAACGGAGATGAGCACCGCCCCCTAGAGTCAGGAACACTAGCATATATGTGCAAGGGGAACCTTTACCTTTACCTTATGGTGTTCAAGTGGTGCTCCGGTTACCCATTAGTATTATTATTATCATTAATGTTATTATGCAACTAAGCAAATTGTGCAAACTTGAGCCAGGGAGGAGCCGGTGTGCCAGATGGATTTGCCATACTCGAAGGCCATTGATGCTCAGTGATGGTGTCTAAGGGGAGATTGGGGGAAAGGATATTGGAAAGAGCGACCTACTTCAATAAAATTCCAAATTGGACAGGAGCAAAATTCTGATCTTACGTATAATCGGGGAGGGGATTGAAGAGGACATAATACACCCATTAAATTTCCCCTATCCTCTGTAAAGGTAAATTCCTTGTACTCCAAGCATACAACAACAACATTATTCAGAATGCCACTCATTCCAAATCCAGGCTAAACTTCTGGCTGAATGCACGACAGATGATGATGATGATATAATAATAAAATAAAAAAATGTAGTTAGACTAGAATTATATACGTTATTATGGATAAATATGTATGTGAATTGTATAGATAGGTATATGAAGGTATAGATATGTATAATTGTATAGGAATAAGGTATAAATGACTATTATTATACTATGTTTAAATAGCGTATTAAGGTGCAAGGAATATAGTATTATATTATCATTAGTATATTATGTATTAGTTTCAAGTGTTGGAAGACGCTTGGGACCAGTGATGTCATATCTATGTCCAATATTTTTAATTTTGAACTACTAATAAAAAACTTTTTAAAATAAAAAAATTAACAAATTAACAAATTAACAAAAATTAACACATTAACAATAATATTTAATGAAAGATGAAACATTTGTATTAAAATAAAAATTTATTTAAATAAATAAATAAAGACATTAGACAAACGTTGGAAATTAAGGAGAGGGAAGAGTCGGAGTGTGGAACAAATTATATCAATGGTTAGAAAAAAGGAATCAAAACAGTAATTCGGAATGTTAAATTAATCGGGTTAAAACTAGGAAGTGTAAATTACTGAACAGTGTTAACCTGACAATGATACAAATGTAAATAGAAAGTACATAGATAAACAATTGAATAAAAATAAGAGAATATATATCCATGTGGATACAGTAAGCTGTAAAATAATATATGATGCAATGTTATGTTTGTTATGTGCTTTTAATGTGCTTTTGTTGTATTTTTCTTTATTTTGTTTTTAAAAGTCAAAACTGCAATAAAAATTATTTTTTTTAAAAAAAGAAGAGATTGGACAAACATTTGTCTGAAATGGGGCAGGGTTTGACAAGGAAACTCAAGCAGGAAACCCTACCCCATTTGGGTTGGGCTAGAGGACCTCTAAGGGTCCCTTTCCAACTCTGTTATAATGGAGCCACCCAGCCTCAAATCTGCTCTGTACGTACCTCCGCCTTCGGCTCCTCCAGCTCTTCCTCGCCTTCGTCCGAATTTAGTTTCTTGCGGACCGCCGGGGAAGTCGACCGGGACCGGGCTCTGCAATTTATGCCGGGCGAGTCCGCCCCTTGACCCGGTCTCTGTCGCCGCCGCCTCCTTCGCTCCTGCGTCCTTCTCCTGACAGCCCCACCGCCCTCCATGGAAAAGGGGTATAGCCCTCGCTGGGCTCAACCCCCCCGGGTCAGCCGGTGCTGCACCAGACGGGCAGGTGGAGAATTGGGTCGCTTCTTACGAGATGCAGCGACTCCATTTTCTCTATTTCCCCCCCTTTTTCGGGAAAAGGAACCGTCCGCCTCTGAGCGAGGACTGTACCATCTACTAGAAAAAAGGGGGCAAGGTTTCATTAACGCGGAACCCCGAAAAGGCACTCAAGCCCTATTGAAAGTAAGCTTCCGATGAGTGAACTACAACTCCCGGCATCCTTCGCATTGGGCAGCAAAGGTTGATGGGACTTGGGTTCGAACAAAAAAAAAAAATGGGATGAATCACGTTCTTCTATGACGAAAGGGCTCCGGATTGGTTGAGCGGAAGGGAAACGTCCTTGAAAGGATTGGCTAGCCGCTAAGCGAACTCTATTGGCCGTTGGAGCAGCCAACGGCCAATAGAGGCGCGAAAGCTTTTCTTTCCTCAAAGCCGGACGTGTTGTGAGGGGGACTGGATTGGATGTTACTCTCCTAACGTGGGAAGTACCGGAAGGGGAAAAAAAGAAAGATGGCTGCCGTGGTAAACTTGATTTCTTCTCCCAAGATTTCGGGGAAATTTTATTATCTCTTCGCCGCTGTAAGAAACGGAAGGTGTGCGCCTGGCCCGGGTAAGCGAAAAACAACCCTGCGGAACCTGCGAGGAAGATCATGATAATCTTTTCCCATGTGGTTGAGCCATTAACTTAGGACAGGATAGGATAGAACAGGGGTCTCCAATCTTGGCCACTTTAAGACTTGTGGACTTCAACTCCCAGAATTCCTCAGCCAGGTTTGCTGGCTGAGGAATTCTGGGAGTTGAAGTCCACGAGTCTTAAAGTGGCCAAGGTTGGAGACTCCTGGGATAGAAGAACGAAAGAATTCAGGCATTTGAGCGATGTGGTTTTAATGGGCAACCACATCAAAACGTGGCTTTGCCCATTAAAACGAAAGAACCTCCAACGGAATTGTCTCTCCAGAGAAGCATAACTAGCTCTCACATTAGCATGTATAGCGCCACTTTTCTATTTTTTTCAGGGTTTTTAATCGGCCTTATTATTTTGAATGACCACCGTGGCAAGCAGTCATTTTCATTTTGCATTGTATTTCATTTTAATGTGTATATATAGTTATTAAAGTGTACCTTTTTATTGCAGACTGCCCAGAGACCATAGGCTATTGGGCAATTTAAATTTTTTTTAAAAAAAATAATTACAGATACCCTAAGTAAAAAAGGGCCAAATGTGAATTTTGGGAATTAATGCATCAAAATGACACCTGTTACAATTATCTAGTTTGGATGTTATGAGCCTTTGCGGGAGGCATACCTTGCAATAGAATAATAAAATAGCTTTTGTTGTTAATAGGCTTTGTAAATATGGTCTGCTATGCAGTTTACATTATACTCTTTTCTCTGTCCCTCCACAGCTTTTTCTTTTTGACATGAGGTATCTTGGATTGATCCAGAAGGGCTGTTTTTATGTTCTTTCACATACTATTATTTTTCAACCATATTGTTTGGTTACCATTTTTAAATGGCTACTACAACACAGTCATTAATTTGTCCATAAAAGCAGTGGTGGGGTTAAAATAATTTAACAACCGGTTCTCTACCCTAATGATTTCTTCCAACCACCAGTTCACCAAACTGCTCAGAAAGTTAACAACCGGTTCTCCCGAAGTGGTGCGAACTGGCAGAATCCCACCACTGCATAAAACCTATTAGTAACTTTTTTTTTTGGAAGCCTAATATGAAGTAAACTCTTTCTGCTGCTATTCCTGGAGGAACAGACACAAACTTCTCTACGCTTAGTATTGAAATGTAAGCTTTGCAAAATCTTAGGCTAGTTTTTAAAAGTTGCCTTCTGACTATCAGCTTTACTGGAGAGAATTAGATCATACTCTATGAGCTTGGTATCTGTAGTGAGGACAGCTATCAAGTCTTCCTCCATCAGTTTGTATCTTTTTAATAATGCTTCTGGAGGGAATTTCTCTCAATATGGCTGGGAGCAAGCAAGCCAGAGAAGCCTACTTCTCTGGTAGGCTTCTTACTTATTTGCAGGCTATTCTTCCACTGGCTTGCATGGGGTTGCTTTTTGTTTATGGTAGCTATCCATATGATTAAATGCAAACCTGAGCTGTCAGCATTTTTGCTAGTTTCAAATACATCATTCATGCGTCCATCTCAGTTTTTTTATATTGATGACAAGAAGGTCAAAAAGGAAAAAGATCTTCAGGAAGTCAGCTATTTCTGTTCAGTTCTTTATTTGGCTGGTTAGTATCTTTTAACAGGTTTGTACTTTTGTATTTCTTTTCAGGTAGATCATGGAAACGAGAGAGTAGTTCACATGAACAGGAATCCAATCAAGAAGATATGGTAAGATCTTACTATAACATACTTAAACTCCATGGATTGTTAAATAATTGACACAGAATGTCAGAATATAGTGAATACAGTAAAGTACTTGTAATATGTGTAATTAATTTTAAAAAAGAAAGAAATCTGGTTGCACTTTCCATAACTCATAGAGACCAATATAAAATATCTACAAATAAAATGGGGATGTTTCTAATTTCTTCCAATAAAATTGTGAAAAGTTGATCCTAAATTTAAAGTGATATTACAGATAAGCGCATTGAAAAAGAACATATAGGACATTATAGTTACACCAGTTTGCAACCTCAATATTGTGTCATTAAGAAAAGGTAAAGTTCCCCTCGCACATAGGTGCTAGTCATTCCTGACTCTAGGGGGCGGTGCTCATCTCCGTTTCAAAGCTGAAGAGCCAGCGCTGTCTGAAGATGTCTCTGTGGTCATGTGGCCAGCATGACTAAACACCAAAGGCGCACAGAATGCTGTTACCTTCTCACCAAAGGTGGTCCCTATTTTTTTACTTGCATTTTTTTTACGTGCTTTCCAACTGCTAGGTTGGCAGAAGCTGGGAGAAGTAATGGGAGCTCACCCCGTTACGTGGCACTAGAGATTTGAACTGCTGAACTGCCGACCTTTCAATAGACAAGCTCAGCGTCTTAGCCACTGAACCACTGCAACCCACTATTGTGTCATTACAGCCAATCTAAATAAATAAATAAATAAATAAAATATAAATAAAATAAAGTAAAGTAAAACTAAAAAAAGTAGTTTTAGCCCTCTTGTGGATTTTATTTCCTGGTTTGGTCCATCTAATTGGGCTGACAGTTTATGCAAAAAGATGCCCTCCTTGATGAAGGACTTCAGGAAGAGCTAAAAAAAACCCCAACTAAAATTCCTGTCGTTTCAGCCTGTTTCAATGGAAAACCCCTACAAGGAGCCTCCTAAAAAGTGTGTCTTGTGCGGTGTAACAATTGACTACAAGAATGTACAGGTAAATTAATAACTTAAGAACTTGATGTTGTGTTATGTTACAACACAAACAGCAGAAATTGTTTCAAGATTCTGTTGGCCTAGATACCAGAAGACGGGGAGTTCTAGACCTCTGGTAGGAATGAAATGAATGGCTGGGTGACTTTGGGCCAGTCACTTTCTCTCTTCTGGAACCCACCAACTGAAATGACCTGGCTGACGGGGTCCCTAATATGCCCCTTCTGCTGGTGTGGGTGGGATGGGCTAATCACATCGGGATGAGCTGGTTTCTCAGGTGACCTGGATCCATACCACCAAGATCTTTAAAAGTGACAACCAGCACCTTGAATTGGACCCAGAAGCAAATTGGCAACCTGTAATACAGCTCGCAAAACAATGGTATAACATGGGCCGTTGTAGCCTCTCCCCTCCCGCCCCCAAAACTGCCCATGCAGCTGTGTTCTACACCAGCTGAAATTTTCTGGATACGCTTCATGTTTTATTTTATTCATTTTTTATTCAGGGGGTGCCTTGCTTTCTTTTGTCTGTTTGCAATTGTTTTAATTTAGTATTATATTTTGTAAGCAGCCCAGGGTATGTTGCAGTTGATATAATAAATTTAAATAATTAAAAAAAAACCTATTTAAATCTAAGTACAAGTGAAAAATGAAGAAAGGCAAATCTTGTATTGTTGTAGCGTAACAAATACAGGCGGGCCTTGCTTAACAACCAATGGCTCAGTGAACATTTGAAGTTAAGACAGATCTCCCCAGTTAGTTATAACTTATAACCTGTTTTTTTATGTTCTAACTGCTGCACACACTCATCTGCATACACAGCCCAGTCACATGATTGCAATTTTCTACAATTTTTGCCAGTTTCCAGCATTTACTTCCAGTTTCTGGCAAAAATTTCCCACTGGTGAAAAAGAGATTGCTTAACAACCACAGCATTCACCTAATGACTGCTGCAAAAAAGGACATAGTATCGAGTGTGGTCATGTGGCGACCCATTTAATAACTGCCATAGCTCAATTATTGTTGTACCTTTCTTGCTGGCTAGATGTAGCGACTCTTAAGGCTTGTACCAATGTGAACCTACTTTCTTACTATTAAGAAATAGCTTGACAATTTTTGCTTAATCAGAAAACTATGGTTAAAAAGATGGAATATGTGACCCTGCTCCCAACTCGTGTATCTAGTTTGATAGGCTGCATTTTACCCACAACAAACCTCTATGCTACAATCGACCACGGTGTTCCAAATCAAACTGCATATTTTAATTACACAGGTAAATAGTTATTGTGTATACCATGGCCATCCAGAGTAACTAACAGAGAGGTGTTAAATAGTATAAAATCAGATACATTACTGGAGGATAAAATCATAAGACTACGTCTGATTTACTTTGGCTATGTCATGAGTGGAGAAGGGAATGATGCTAGGTATGATTAGGGTAGGGGTATCAAACGAGGCCTGGGGTCTGGATGTGGCCCCTCGGGTACTTAGACCTGGCCTGCAGGGCTGCCCTGGAAATAGTGAAGGACCAGCCTGCGGTGTTTCTGCCAGCCAAAACGGAGCTCACAAGAGTTCTAGGAGGCCATCCCATCCAATCCAGGAGGCCACATATGGTCCCCCCCCAACCCCCCGAGCTCAGTTTTCTCTGGCTGAGGATTGCAGGAGGCTGTCCCAACTGAAAACGGAACTTGGGAACCCGTTTTCACTGGCAGAGTGCTCTGGCCACCACAGGCGCCCCCGACACAAGTGATATCATGCTGGCCATGCCCCCTTGCCCCTCACCCCCCCCCCAAGGTCAAACATAACCCTGATGCAGCCCTCAATGAAATCGAGTTTGACACCCCTAGGTTAGGGGAACAAGAAGGGGCAAGCAAAGAACCCGCTGGCTTGATAACATCAAAACCGATTCAAAGAGAAACTATCCAACAACTGAAAGAATTTGTGCTGGACAGGGTAGCATGGAGAGCACTTGCTTATAAAGCTGTCAAGAATCAGACATGACTAAATGGTTAAAACAACCAAACGTTATGGTTTTAGATTTTCAAATAAAATATGATTTTACACCAATGCACTCATTTTGTTTAAACAACTATGAAATATTATCCAATTGCAAATATTTGCTACCCAAAGTATTTTATTTAAATTTTTTTTTTTACTGCTTTGAAGACTGAACCAACTTATTTCTCCAACAGCTTTTATCACAGTTTATTTCACCATACACCGGTCGCATACTTGGTAGTCATATAACAGGTATGTACAAAAAACAATTTTAGCAGAATTATATCTACTCATCTCCAGACCAAATTGTGAAATACCATTCAGTACTTTTAACATAAGAATTTTAAATCGTTGATACTTATTCTGAGTTATTCTGGCCCAAGTACTGTATTTTTCGGAGTATAAGACGCACCTCCCCCCCCAAAAAAGGGGGTGAAAATTTAGGTGCGTCTTATATACCAAATGTAGCCCTGCCCACCCACTGGCCCCCACCCTTTGGCCTCTGCCTCCCAGCAAGTTATCTCCTTGCAGCAAGAAAAAACAGCTCGCTTCAGCACAGCCTAATTAGCACAAGTTGATTGGATCAGCCTCCTGACTCTCAGCTGTTTTGCATGGGCCTCTGCTGCTTGCTGCAAGGAGGTAAATTGCTGGGAGCAGATTTTTTTTTTCTTGTGCTAATCAAGCTATGCTGAAAACAAAAATGAAAGTAAAGCAGGCTATTTGCTGCAACAAGGCAAAATTGCTGGAAAGCAGAGGTAGATTTCTTTTTCTTGTTTTCCTCACCAAAAAAGGTAGGTGTATCTTATACTCCAAAAAATAGGGTACATGCTTTCTAAAATAAGAAAGTAAAAAAGTTACTTAAAATAATTTTAATTTTTTTAAAACAAAGGCTCAAATGAAATTGAGCAATTAGTATTTTTGAAATGTATTTTGAAATGACTTTGTTTGCTTCTTAGGCTTATGTACAAAGAAACAAAAAGAAATGGGAAGAGCCATTAGAAGAGCCCATTGCAAGGGTAATTATTATAAAATACTCATACCTTTGGATGATTTATAAAAACATTTTGTTTTTAAAACCTAATTATTCTTTTACAGGATTTATGTCGATTATGCACAAGGACCCGATGTTTCGCAACGACCCCAAAATATGTAATATTAAATATCCAGAATAAATTGTATCAATTATGCCTAGCCTATTTTTGTAATTAGACTATGTTTATTATTAGAATGTTAATTAATGAGCTATCAATATGTCCATGATGAGAATATTATTTCATTCATTCTGATGACAAATTGATCATCAACTATAGCATTGTCAGGAGAGAATGTGTCTTTGTAGTAAATATGTTTGCTTCAACTTGTATGCGGTCTTTTGGATTTATCAGAATGCAGTTGTTTAAGATGCAGCATAAATAAATCTTTTTACCTACTGACACTGTATTCTTACTTTGAATTAGCATCTCTTGGACATTTTAGCTGAAATACGTAATAAGGTTGTAGAAATTCGAAGTATTAAAACAATGTAAAGCGGTAACTGTGAATGGAATTCATAGATTGGTCTTTTTCACTAAAGTGTTTGATTCTGGGATCAATGTTCCATTTCAAAACCAGCTTTGCTATTTAAAGGAAGTACCATTGCATTCTTAATAAAGTTCTTATTAAAAAGAACAGGTAGGTTCTTGGTCTTTGCCGTTTTCTGATATACCCTCTAAGAGAGTAAGCAATTTAAGATTTAGTGATGAAAAGCAACCTGAACCTTTGTCCATGTTGTACGAATGATGCCGATTTAAAAGGGTTGAGGTTTTATTTCCAAAACGTTGCCTCAAGTATTCCACGTATTAATGAAGTGTGCTGATAACACCAGCAGCACCAGAGGTGAGAATAACAACTACTAAAATCCTTTGCCACTGGAAGGGATTAAAGAGTTGAAGACAGCATGAGCCCATCAAGGTGTCACATCTTCCGTTGCATTGCTGTTGGTCGTAACATTTAATTCTTGGTCATTGTTTTCCTGGTCTTCTTGAAATAGTTTTTGATTAAGGTGGAAAGAGCGCAGTCTTTTGCATGCCTTTGGCCCACTTGCGTTCACAGTGGCTTTTCGCTTCGACGCCTGCCTCGTTTCAGTTTCAGGGAAATTACTTTCTTTGATCATTAAAGTTAATTGGTCCATGATTTGGATGTTGTGATCAGCAGTGCATCCCTGCTTAGAAATCTGCCTTCCTTTCAACGTAACCGTGCTTGTCTGCAGCCCAGAATTTGGGAAAAAGTGCTGCAAAGCTTGACAGAGAAAAATATTCTCTTTTGGCTCATCTGAGTAATTTCTAGCCTTTCCTAAGAAGAAAAGAGAAAGGGGGAGGGGGGGGGGAGAATCAGATTAGAAGATATTTTCATTAGATGGAAAGACCATAGCAGTAGGCTGAATATATCAACTGAAAAGCAGTTTTTTTTTTTCCCTTGTAGGGAAACAATTTATATTAGATGCCCAAATAAGAATATAAGGTATTTAGCAGTGATGGAGAACCTATGGCACGCGTGCCGGAAGTGGCACGCAGAACCATCTCTCCGGGCACACCAGCCATTGCCCGTTGCTCTTCCAGATTGCGGTGCACACATGCATGCCAGTCAGCTGGTCTTCGCAAATGGGTGCGCTGGAAACCAGAAGAGCAGCTCCCTGGTGTGCGTGCACGCGCTGGGAAGCTGAGCTTCTGGTTTCTGGCACTCCCGTGCGTGCGCACCGGGTAACTACTCTTCCGGTTTCCAGTGCTCCCCTGCGTGTGCTCCTGTTTTGGCACTCGGTGCCAAAAAGGATTGCCAACACTGGTATATAGTATCAAGGGATTTCAGAGAAAGCTATTTTTTATTTAGTGAGGGAATGTAGCTCTCCTGAATTTTTTCCAACTGACTTGGAATACTGTAGTTTCCTCATTAGTTGGCAAGACAGGAATTGTCATTAAATTTTTCAACAATTGACTACAATTTTAAAATGCTGCAGAAATTGCCAAACCAATTTCAACATTTTAAAGTATTTTTCTACTTTCCTTAACAAACTAGATTTTATTTTAAATCACTTTTTCTGATTACATGTAATAAGTAGCTAAAGAATGAAATCTTTCTTTATTTTTCTGCCTGGCTATACACTACAGCGCCTACAATATACCACCCCTTGGTTTCTTTACATATATACAACACATGTATGCACATACAAATCCATGTATCATTTGTAAAATCCTTTATTATTGGATAAGAAGGGAAAATCATTGTTTTTGGTTTTTTGTAATAGTTACTTGTAACATAAATGGATGTTTGTGACAGCCCCCTGACATACCTATTAAATGCCAAGTTTAAACCATGGATGGAGATGTATAAATTAAATGGAAATTATGGCATGCACCCAGTGGTGAAATGTAAAATTTGTTACTACTGGTTCTGTGGTCGTGGCTTGGTGGGGGGTAATATGACTGAGTGGGCGTGGAGGTTGTAAAAAAAGAGGTTGAAAAGGTTGTAAAAAAAAAAACGCTTTTAAAGCCTCTGACGATCCCAGCTGACTTGCCTGATCGGCAGAGGCTTTTTTTCCTTTTAAAAACATTTTTTCTATAACCTCTTCGGCCCAAGTGGTTGTAGAAAAGATCCTTTTAAAAGTCTCTGTGATCATCAGAGGCTTTTTTTTTTACTTTTAAAAGCATTTTTTCGGCTAAAGAGGTTGTAGAAAAAATGCTTTTAAAAATAATAAAAAAAAGCCTCTGATGATTGCGCGGCTCAGCTGGGCAACGGGGTGGGGTGGGGGGCAGGGATTTTTGCTACCGATTCTCCGAACCACCCACCTCCATCGCTACCGGATTGGGCGATCCAGTCCGAACCGGGAGCATTTCACCCCTGCATGCACCATGATCCTCTCTATAAGCCACCTTTTGCTAGTTACAGGTAGTCCTCAACGCATGACCAGTCACTTAGTGATAGTTCAAAGTTACGATAGACTTCCCCAAAAAGTACTTGTGACCTGGTTCTGAGGTCCTGTGGTCACATCACTATATTTATGTTGCTTGGCAACTAGCCTGAATTTATGGCCATTTGAAATGTATCTATGTGGCCACGATTTAGGACATTTTTGCTCAAAACCAGCTTTTACTTTCAAATTTTGGCAAAAATACTCCATAGTGAACAAATAGGTTTGCTTAAATACCATGATGTGGCATTTGCTTAATAAGCACTGCAAAAAAGGATACAGTCATGTGATGACTCGTTTTACAACTATCATGACTGATTTCTGTAACAGGCAGGCTTCATTACAGTTGTAAAATGAGAATTACCTGTACTGTCTTGGATCTGGTTTGGCAAAATGGCTGGGGCATAATTAAGAGAGCAGGTAAAGAAATTTGGGAAAGGGTAGGTTATTTGTCTGATCCCAATTCTCATGCAAGGAATGCACCAAGCAAGTTCAGACACATGAAGCATTTGTGGTTGACTATATTAAAGGTTTATCTGTGCTCTAGCCATTTATTCTCTATGTTCACTTTTCTCATGAGAACAAACATGACAAAATGACCCAGAACTTTCATGCATTTAAGTTATTTTGTCAGATAACCTACAACAATGAACTTTTATAAACATTGGTATATGCAGCATTTATCTGTATGCATAAAAACAAAACCAGCTGGAGAGCTCAATTTATGAACCAGCTTACTAAAATGGTTATTTTCACAAAGTCTTTGGAAGTACTTTATTTACTATCAAATAATTTTTTAAAATTACAGCTTGTCCATGTTTTGCTGAGAAAAAAATAAGGGAGATAAGTATGCAGGTCTTTTATAGCAAAACCAATAATGTAATAACGACGAATTAAGAAAATTTTCTATACAATAAACTTGTAGTATGTTTTAAGGGCCTGAAGGACTTTAGCTTTTTTAGCCACAATAAGCTACCTTACCTGTAGTTTTCTTTTGTTCTTTTTTGCTTCTTACTTCTTGTCTCAGCTGATCTATTTGTGATAATAGATTCTCTACTGATTTTTCACTATCCACTACTTTACTGCACAGGTTCTAGAAGAAGAGAAAAAGAACACCTCTATGGAATGCAAGGTTTTTATCAGCAATCAAAACATGTTTAAGGGTAGCTTTCTAATTTAATTTAATTAATTCAATTTATATGCCGCCCCACTCCGAAGACTCAGGGCGGCTCACAATACATTTAAAAAATCATTATAAAAAACATTTAAAAATTAAAAACATTAAAAACTCATTCACGCCATTCACGGACGGATCTCGCCAGATCACAAGAGCGAGATCAACGGCCCCAGACCTGCCGGAAAAGCCAGGTCTTCACCGCCTTTCGGAAGGCCAATAGGGTGGGGATGGTCCGGACCTCAGGAGGTAACTGGTTCCAGAGAGCTGGGGCAGCCACAGAGAAGGCCCTTCCCCGCGGGCCCGCCAGCCGGCATTGTTTAGCTGACGGGACCCGGAGGAGACCAACTCTGTGGGATCTTACCGGTCGCTGGGAGCTATGCGGCAGAAGGCGGTCTCGAAGATAACCTGGACCTAAGCCGTGTAGGGCTTTAAAGGTAATAACCAACACCTTGAATTGTGACCGGAGACCAATAGGGAGCCAGTGCAGCTCGCGGAGAATTGGTGTAATGTGGCTGTATCTAGGTGCACCCACGACAGCTCGCGCGGCTGTGTTCTGGACCAACTGTACTCTCCGAACACTTTTCAAGGGTAGCCCCATGTAGAACGCGTTGCAATAATCTAACCGTGAGATGATAAGGGCATGAGTGACTGAGGAGAGCCTCCTGACCCAAGTAGGGTCGCAATTGGTGCACCAGGCGAACCTAGTTGGTGCACTAGTTCTTACATTACCCTAATTCCTATATTCTTCATAGGAATGCGCAATCATTTTAGCCTTGGAGGCTGCACAATACCACAATTTGTGTAAATTATGGTGGTGTTTTTGCACGATGACTGTATTTTCAAAAATAATGCCATATAGATAGTTTTTGACTTATGTTTGTAATGGAACTTGCCAATTATGGTCATAAGTCATGATAGTTGTAAAACATGACCGGCTTGTTTTTAATGATCTTTTTTTGTAGTGGTCATTAAGCAAGCCCATTGTTTTGGCTATGGGTGGTTTTGCTGGAGACCAGAAATAAATATTGATTTTCAGCAAAAAATAAAAATAAAAATAATAATAATCGTAATTTAAGGTCATGTGACTACAGGATCCTGTAACTGGAAGTAAATGTGGGCTGATTGCCAAGTGCCCAAATTATAGTCAGGTGACTGTGGGGGGGAGTGGCCACTGGAGCTGAGTCATGAGTACATATTGAGGGGGATCCGTTGTAACCTTGAATGACTGCTAAGCAACTGGTTGTAAGTCGAGGATGACCTGAACCTGGCAAAAGTTCTAATAGATGTATTTGGATCTTTCCTAGACTACGTTATCCTAATAAGTAATATTTTCCTGAATATTTATTTGAGATGTATTAACAATTGTGTTTCAAATTTTCCACCGCTACTTAAAAGTCACAAAATAGGTATTCATAACTTACCTTTAGTTCTGTCTGCAAAGTAGAATACATTTCGTTTATCTTATGAACCTCTTTTAGAGACCCATCTTCATTAAAGAATTCTGACCTTTGATACAAAAAAAACAAAACAAAACCATAGCATGTACTATTTTTATCTTATTTCCAGAAAATACAGTACTGAAATGTAGATATTTCAAAATCTAATCATACAGACTAACAAACCTTTATTTGAAACAAGAAAATGCCATCAGGTGCTTTCGAAATAGACAAGTTTATTTTGTAAAGATATTGCTAATTGACATTCAGGTTAAAAACAAAAACAGTTAAAGGCTATCGCGTCAACATAACAAAAGTTAAGACAAATAGTAATCATTTCAAACATCCAACAGTATCAGCCATATAGAGTCAAAATTCCAGCAGTCTTAAGCAACTTTTATCAGTGTTTTAAAATTATGTATTCAATATAATATAATAGAAATATCTTTCTATATATAAACTTGCCACCGTTAGAGACCCGTAATCTGAAGTATAACTGAGAATACCATGCAAAATAGGAGAAGGCTGTTTTCCTACCTGTGTTCTGCCATCACTTTACCAAGCCCCGAAGAGATACAGGAACCAGATACAGTTCGATAACCTTGTTGTTCTCCCATTCCTAGATTGGCTACAACTACTGGCACTTTCTGAAAAAGCCTACAGAAAACCCAAGTACATAATTAGAGATACTGGAGATTTTATTTTCTGTTGCATATGACAAATGTGCAATTTGTTAAGAAATAAATAAACATATTTATTTAGAACCATAGGATTTTTGCAAACTTATTTATTTATTTATTTATTTATTTATTTATTTATTTATTTATTTATTTATTTATTTATTTTCAGATTTCTATACCGCCCTTCTCCTTTCGGACTCAGGGCGGTGAACAGCCAAGATAAAACATTTATACACAAAAGTTAAAATAGATTTAAAATAATTAAATAAATTTGGCCCGTAATTTAAAACATTTCAATTTAAAATCCATATCAAATTCTAAAACCAACCATAAAATCAGGACAGCCCGGCTAACTGAAAAAAATAGGTTTTTAGGGCCCAACGAAAAGTCCGGAGGTCGGAGATCACTCGTATCTCTGGGGGTAGATTGTTCCAGAGGGTAGGTGCCACCACAGAGAAGGCTCTTCCCCTGGGGGTCCCCAGCCGACATTGTCTGGCCGACGGCACCCTGAGGAGGCCCTCTCTGTGGGAGCGAACTGGCCGGTGGGTTTTCCACCTTTGGAGACCAAAACTTTTCTTTTTTTTGCATAGCAACGGAAGTAGTGGTTGCTCTTATGACCATGGCAAGAGGCCATACGAGGCCTCTGGGAAACTTTGATATCGAGAAGGCTGGGAAATTCTGGGAGTTGAAGTCCACAAGTCTTAAAAAGTTGCCAAGTTTAGAGACCCCTGTTATAGACGGATAAAATAACTTACAGGCTTTATTTACAGTTTTAATTTTTGTAAGAATCAGTTGGTTAATGTTGCCAGAGATGATAAAAGTAAAATATGAAAGTTTTAACTGAAATGAATAATTTCTGCTATAATAAACTGTTTCAATTTTCAAACGGAATGCATAGAACATGGGTATCAAACTGGATTTTTTCGATGGCTGGATCAGCATTGTAGTTCTCCTCCATGGGCCAGCAGGGGGAGGCAGCGGGAGGGACACAGGCTGGACGTCTCCTCTAGCACCCTGCCCGCCAAAACGGGGCGTGAGGGGGGGAGGCTGTGCGTGGCTCCCTCTGCCGTTTTTAGCCTGAATGGCCTCCTGCAGCATTTTACTGGCCAAAACAGGGTGCGGGGAGTCATGTGCAGCCTCCCCTCGTGCCTCATTTTCACCCTCCATGGCCTCCTGCAGCACTCTGCTGGCTGAAAACGGGGCGCCACGCAGCCCGTTTTTGGCTGGCAGAATGCTGCAGGAGGTCGGGAAGGCCGAAAATGGGCGGGGGAGGGGGCATACGGCTTGTTTTGGCCGGCAGAGGCACCGTGGGCCGGTCCTTTCATATGTTCAGGGCGGATTTAAGCACCCCACGGGCCTTGACTTTGACATAGAATCCAAGTTATTTTGGGGGGTGGGTGGGGTGGGCTTTGAGTCAGTCTTGATTCCTGGAAATTGTCTGGATAACTTTGTCGTTTTCTTGGCAAGATTTTCAGAAGTGTTCTGCCTTGTCTTCTTAGGGCTGAGAGAGAGTGACTGGCACCAAAGTCACCCACCTGGCTTTGTGCCTAAGGCAGGACTAAAACTCAAACTCTCCCAGTTTCTAGCCTAGTGCTCTAACCACTGCACTGATCTAGTCCTCTTACCTTGAGTTACACGGTATTAATGCCAGATCATGCTATTGTATCGGAAGATGCTATTTCTGACCAGAATGAATAAGGAACTGAATGAAAAGAAATTGTGCAAGATTTGTTACTTACGTCTCTTGTGGCTTATGCAAGGCATATTCGAGTTTGTAAGTGGATGAGCTTGAAGAGGTTACGTTGGAAGTGAGTAACAGAAACACAAGATCCTGATTTGATAAGTGTGATTTTAAGTGCTGGTGAAGAAGCTGTTCTCTGAACGTCATTGTCTGGTCAGTATTACGCCTGAGCTTGTACCAACCAATCACATTCTGGAAAAGAAAGGGCATTCTTTAAAAAAAAAAAAAAGGCTACGTAGAAATGTGTTATTACTTTCAAAGAGAACATGATGAAAAAGAACTGTGATTAACATTTTAATCCACGAGTCACTACAATAACTAATACAGCTGGGATAAATGAGTTCCAGTAATTATATCTAACCCAGGGGTCAGCAACCTGTGGCTCCCTGTCGGGTGATCCCACCACTGGCTGGCCCCACCCCTCGCCCTCCCCTCCCAGTCACTCTTCGCCTGGCCTGAGAAGGTAAGGGCGACGGCGAGGGGTGGGAGAAGCAGCCAGGGCAGAGACAGGGAGATATGGAGAAAGGGGGAAAGAGACATAAAGAGATATAGAGAGAGAGGGAGGGGGGAGAGAAGGAGGGAGGGGGAAAGAGAGAGATGTCAAAAGGATTTTGTGGTTCCCGGTGTTTTTTAACAACTGGTTCTCTGCCCTAATGACCAGCTGGGTAGGCGTGGCTAGGGGGGTCATCATGTGACCAGTAGAACTGAGTGACATAAAGTTGGCCACGCCCAGGTTTTGTGGCTCCCAGTGTTTTCTTTTCTGTGGGAAACAGGTCCAAATGGCTCTTTGTGTATTTAAGGTTGCAGACCCCTGATCTAACCCAATCTTTCAAAGAAATTCACAAACGTTACTGGCTTTGAAAATGTATTTATTTATCTAGTTTCATATTTATATTTTGCAATTGAGTATGTATGTATGTATGTATGTTTTCTTTCAATCTATTTACCGGTATATAGCTACTTATCTTTCAACAGGGATTCTGCATCTAACATAAAATCTAAACTCAAAATCCAAAATAAACAAGAGAGTAAAACCCAATGGCTAATAAGTTTCAAAACAATTTGTTGCATCATGTAAGGAACTGACGCACATTTACTGACTCCAGCTTTTATGCCTGCCTTTATTTTAAGCCTGGTTATAATTTCTAATTATGTTTAACAATACTTATTTCAAGGACACCGTTTTGCTTTTATGCATATACATTTTAACTTAACTTCTAACTGAAGAATGCTAAAAAAGAAAAAAATATATGTATGTATGTATGTATGTATGTATAGGACAAAAATTCAGCCAAAGGAATATAATGATTATAATGGATAACAAGCTTGTGTCAACTCTCGAAACGACTCTAGCTGAAACCATACTCTACTTGGCTTCGTTTCTAAGTTGCCATGTATGGTGTGTGTGTGTGTGTGTGTGTGTATGTGGACAGGATGTGAAGAATGTAGAATATTTTCCTCTACAGTGCCAGACGTAACAGCAATAAGGCTCATGAGAACCAAGGTCAGCTGAACCTGCCCTAGCAATGGCAGGAGGGAATGATGAGAAGGTCATTGCCTGCTTGGTTGGTTAATGTGACTTGTGACACCAGGCAGGTGGACAATATCTATTCCTTAATTATACCAAAGCGCGGGAATTGTTCAGAGTTGGTTTCACATTTGAATGTGTATCCAATAAACAGGATGATCTTTGAGAAAAGCCACAGCCTCCGAGTCTTGAATTGACTGGGAGCATTACTCGGAACTATGACAGCTTGTACAAGTATACAATCTAGGGAGTACATTGCTTAGTCCGTGTTAATTCAGAAGCATTTAAATACAGGTCGTTCTCGACTTAAAACTGTTTGTTTATTGACCATTTGAAGTTACAATGGCAGTGGAAAAAGTGAATGTTTTGCAGCACCCCTATGGTCATGTGATTAAAATTTGGGCATTTGGCAACTGGTTCACATTTATGATGGTTACAGTATCCTAGGCTCATATCATCCCCTTTTGCGACTTTCTGACAAGCAAAGTCAATGGGGAAGCCAGACTTATTTAACAACCGTGTTACTAACTTAACAACTGCAATGGTTCGCTTAACGTGTGGCAAGAAAGGTCATAAAATCGGGCAAAACTCACTCAACAACTCTCTTAAGCAGCAACAGAAATTTTAGGCTCAATTGTGGTTGTAAGTCGAGGACTACCAGTATGATCCATAATCAAAGTACAAAAATTCTGACAGTGGTGTCAAATATAATTCCTTTTTGAGGAAATTTGTACAAATAGACCTATTATCTGCAAATTTAGGCATATATATCTGGGAACAAGTCCTACCAACCTTGCTGAGACATTACTTATAAACTCATAATCAAATTACATCTATTAATCAAACTATGGAGAACTGGGGATGAGTTTAAATAAAAATGTTTCTGAATATGCTCATGCAATACTATTAAATTTAAATACAAAATACCTTTTTGCACCCTGACAATATTTTCTTCAACATTGGTTTATTCAGTTCTCCAGCTGCATTGTAAAAGCTAAAAATGATGAAATGGGAAGGAACAGAAATACTGAGTTAAATATATCTGCAGTTAGTATTGTTTCTAGTCATTTTTAATTTTTTCTCCCTGAGGATTTCATAGGAAATAAAAAAATAACACAGAAATCAAAAGTTTTGGCCTTGGGAAGTAGACAACAAGAAGAATAAATGTTCCTTCTCCCAACAAAATTATTGAATTACAATTTGGTTTGGCGACAGTAAAATCTGAGCTGTATGTATGTGTTTCTGTGGTTGATTTGCAAAGAGATAAGGGCCAATATCATAAAATAACCAGTCGAAATGTTTAACGTCATTGAAAAATAATAAATTGAAAAATAATAAATTGACTATTGACTACATTGCAATCATTTGCTATGTGATTAATACGCTATTCCAAGAATATACCCATAGGTTCTATAAAACTCTTTACAATGTAGTCAATAGTCAATTTATTATTTTTCAATGTAACATTAAGATGATTAAAAAAAATTTAAGTGGAACTCACAACCATATAAAACTCACATTACTCTCAATCAAGTTTATATTGGAATAATCTACAGGGCTACAGTTTCCTTTCTTGACATTTCTGTTTTAGGGTCACATTAAATGGATATGAAGCTCTCAGTGAAAACAGATGCTGTCATTTAATTCTTCCGTGAACTTCTTGAGACTATCCTGCAGATACGATTCTAATTCACAATCACAGCTAATTCCACCCTCCTGCACTTCTAAAATGTATCACCTTATGTTTTATAAAAAGATATACAATTTATTTTACCTACCTGAAGAGTTGATAACATGGAATGTGCTTTTGTATATCTGAAATAAAGTAAGATATTATATTACTTCTTCCAGAAAGTGTAATGTAGACATGCTTGTGATATGTTCTTTTATTTAAAATAAAAGTTATGTATTATTCAATACATGGCTTTATATTATAATCATATGAGATTTGTAAATCCTGGAAAAATCACTTAATGTAGTATTTCATGCAACACCATTCAGTTTTTCTATCACTTTAGTTTATCTGCACTTAAAAGTGCAGATGAGCTAAAAATCATATTGTCAAGAAGCTTTGGAATGACAGCATGAAGCTGGGTTTTTCGAACATTAAAATTAATTTTAAAAATTAATGATAATCGACATTTATGGGATTAGTGGCAAATTTTAAAGGCTTGAACAGTTTTTCATAGTGTAGAACAAACCCATTTGTATCCTTGCTTTTTATAGTTCTTACGAAGCAGGGAAATTAAAGATCTTTTCGAATAATTTCAGAAATGGGAGGAAGATGTAGGAAATTATATGTGATGGAAAATATTACTGTGTTCCATTTTGTTCCTTCTGAAAACTACGTTAAAATAGCACATATTCCCGTTTTATTGGTACTACATATCGATTGTATGGTCTTAGAAATCTCAGAAGGCAGATGGTGGTGATAGTGGGAAACCTTGCAAAAACCTATTCAGGTGTGCAAAATCTTTCATTCACATGTGACAAAACATCTATCTGAGCCACCCTTCTGCCCTAAATAAAATGGACCCTTCCAAGCTTGCAACAGTGATATTTCAAGCTAAAGACTACACTAAAATGCTGGAAAGTTTTTGCACTTTGAAATCAGGTGTTCCCCAAAGTTTTATGCCTGAAATTATTCAAAAGGGAATTATTTTGCACCTCTTTTCTTTATTTAAATCGGTGAACTTACCAATTGTATACACAACCTCAACATCATCCATCTGAGAGTCGGTAATGCTGTTTTTGGCTTCACCTTTCACATCTCCAAGAAGAAAACCTTCCTGTGAGCAAAATAAAAACATGTGTCAAAATAAGACTGTATTAGAAAATCCCAAGATTTAAATGCAAATGTAAGTCTAGATTTTTTTTTTGTTTTTTTTGGGAAAATGCTGAAGAGACGACTTAAAAGACAATGCTCTGTTGTAGAATAGCAAATTGCTAACTTTCAAAAAGATGGCACATATTTTTTCTAAGTGTCTCTATTACTTCATTTTTATTCCTCTTGACATGAAATTGGGAGCAAGGGTTAACCTATTTTATGCATGTATGGGTTTGAGAACCAAGCAATTGAAATGAGGATTCATTAGCAGATATTGGTTAATAATTATATTTTTTTTGAAAGAAAACATTGCTTTATTTAATACAAAAAAATACATGTCACTCAATATGAATACACAAATAATTCATTTAAAAGCAATATAGTTCAGAATAAATGCCGTCATCAAATATAAATTCTTAATCTTACCCAATATTTGAAAGTTTCCTTCATGCAGGAGATGCAATATCTATCACAGGTACAGTTAATCCTTGATTTATGATTGGTTGCTTAGCAACAGTTCAAAGTTATGATGTACCCCCAAAAGTTAGTTATGACAGATTTCTAACAGCTGCACATGCATCTTTGTGGTCAAATTACTGTATTTCAGGTGCTCGGCAACAAATTCACCTTTATTTACAACATTTCTGGACAGTTTCCAGTTTTTTCGTCCAGTTTTCAGGAAAAAAAAAAAACTCGGCCATAATACATTGATTCACTGAACGTCCGCTGCAAATAAAATGTTAAAATTGGGTCCGGTCATGTAAATGCTTCAACTTATGACTGTCATAATTTAGGATGGAAATTCTGGATAACATTCAGTTATAAGTCAAGGACTACTTGTATTCATAATCAATCGACCATCTTATATTGTTTTCATCAAGTAGTCTACAATGGGTTGTAGTTAATACAAGTTGAGAAACAAAAACAAAAAAAATCTTAACTTTTGCAAACTAACCAGTGGGTGATATCTGACAGTGTGTTCCTTATGCAGGTAGTCCTCAATTTACAACAGTTCATTTAGTGTCTGCTCAAAGTTACAACATCATTTTAAAAAAGGGGACATTGATGTTTTTCACACTTAGGACCGTTTTAGCATGATCACGTGATCATGCTAAATAAAATTATTATTATTATTATTATTAATAATAATAATAATAATAATAATAATAATAATAATAATGCTAAAATCACATGATCATTCGGATATGTGACAACTGACTCACATTTATGTCCCGGGGTCACGTGATCCCCTTTTGCAACTTTCTGACAAGCCAAGTCAAGGAGGAAACCAGATTCACTTAACAACCATGTTACTAATTTAACAGCTGCAGTGATTCACTTAACAAATGTGGCCAGAAAAATCGTAAAATGGGTCAAAAGCTCACTTAATGAATTTCTCACTGAACAACATAAATTTTGGGGCTCGATTGTGGTTGTGAGTTGAGGACTACCTGTAGGCTCACTTGGTCCAAGCATCCTTTTTCTAAGGTCTTCCCGGCCAGCCTTGCTGTATGGATCAACTATAAATGCCCAATACTTTAATTCATTCTATTTTGTTTTAAAGGTAAAGGTTCCCCTCGCACATTATGTGCTAGTTGTTCCCGACTCTAAAGGGCAGTGCTCATTTCTGTTTCGAAGCCGAAGAGCCAGTGCTGTCCGAAGACGTCTGTGTGGTCATGTGGCCGATATGACTAAACGCCGAAGGCGCACGGAACGCTGTTACCTTCCCACGAAAGGTGGTCCCTATTTCTCTACTTGCACTTTTTATGTACTTTCGAACTGCTAGGTTGGCAGAAGCTGGGACAAGTAACAGGAGCTCACCCCGTTACGTGGCACTAGGGATTCGAACCCACTGAACTGCCAACCTTTCTATCGACAAGCTCAGCATCTTAACCTTGCTGCGTCCCCTTGCTTTACATTGTTTTACATACCCCAAATTTACAGGACAGGATCATCCACATATATTCTTCAGCTCTGTGCAAATCAAGCTTTTGTGAGGTGGGGGGAAGAGTGACATATATAGGGCCCCAGCTAGGAAAGCTGGGGGACTCACCGAAGCCTTGGTATGGCATTGCATTACTTCCTCTCGAAGTAACTGTAACAGAGTTGGAAGGGACCTTGGAGGTCATCTAATCCAACCCCCCTACTCAGGCTTTCAGGAAACTTTATACTATTTCAGACAAATGGTTGTCCAATCTCTTCTTAAAAACTTCCAGTGTTGGGAGCATTCACAACTTCTGGAGGCAAGTTGTTCCATTGATTAATTGTTCTGTCAGGAAATTTCTGAAATTTCTCTGCTCATGCAGGAGACCTATACTGCAAACGAAGCAGTCAAAAGTCAATGAAACAAAAGAGTTTCTTCAGTGGGAAGACTTTGCACTGGAGGAGGCTGCTTTTGAGGAGATTGTGCAGAAACGGAGAGGCTCACATTGAAAATCAAACAGAAAGAAGCCACAGAATATTTTTCAAACATGGAACTTATTTTACCAATGGTTGGGGAGTAAGGAAGGGAATCTGTATTGTTAAGCAACTTAAAATACCCAGACCACACGATGTTTGTTAAACACTAAGACGTGCAATAAATAGAAAATTAAATACAATTGATTGAAAAAAGTCCATGAAACAAATCCCGTCTCTTCAGCGGGAAGAGTTTGCGCCGGCGGAGGCTGTCCATCAGCAGCGTTTGAAGGCGAGGGAAATTCAAAATAACACCGCAACGCAGCAGCCACCGAGAACCACACAGACAACTTAACAGTTTGCTCACAAAGGGGAGATCTATTAAGATATTAACTATTAATATCTATTAACAGGGATGCCACGTGCGGGGCACGAATCAAATCCTCCACGGGGTCGGAAATCCCCGCGCAAGATTTTCCTCCAACTGTTGCAAAGAAATCAACCCCCGGGTCTGTTTTGCAGCAACTCTCGGTTGGGAGAGTTCGGGTGTTTGCAAAATAGCAAAAAACCAACAACAAACTCCTTCAGGATTCCCAGCCAGGGCGGCCAAACCTTTAAACAAGCACTTGTATTTCGAGTGTGGGAGCATTGAGAGGATCTTGCATTTAAAAAAAAAAAAAAAAAAAAGCAAGCGGATCCCTTGTTCAAATCCACGGGAATGAATTGTGGGGGGAGAAGGACTGCGCCAAGCGCGCGGGCGCGCTCCTTCCCGCCTACCGCGCGGGGTTGTTGTGGGAAACCCATTAGTAAGGAAAGGATTCCCCCCCCCTCCCCGTTTTGGAGCTTCTGGAGGAGGAAAAAGAAGCTGAAGTCCACCATTTGGCCCCCTCACTCGTCCAAAATAGTCGGGGGTGAGGTGGGGTGGAACCACAATGTTTTGGGGAGAAATCCCGGCGGGGTGATAATTTGGCGCCAGGCGAAATGAAACTGAAACTAAGCCTTCCCCAAGGAAGGAAGGAAGGAAGGCAACGCGCGCTGCCCCCGTTGGAAAGGCTTTCTTTGGAGGCGTCTCTCCAAACAAAAACAACAACAACAACAAAACCCAACAACCGCGGGGCGAGGCGGGTCGGTCTCCTGCGTGAGCAGGGAGGGGGGGAGGTTGGACTAGATGACCTCCAAGGTCCCTTCCAACTCTTGTTACTGTTACTTCGGGGCGCGGCGGGACCCCGATTTGAGGCGTAGGCGCGCGCGGGCGCGCGCAAGGCAACCTCTCCAAGCGCGGCGCGGGCCCCCCCTTTTTTTTTAACCTACCGAATCCGAGTCGGTGCTGAGGTGGTGGAAAGCGAGGGCGCCGAAGAGGAAGCCCGGCAGCAACGCCGTCGTGGTCTCCCCCTCCATCCCCGGCGAGCCGCCTTTCTCCCCCCCAACCCCGCCACCCCCGGGTCGGAGGAGGAGGAGGAGGGCTTCGCTGGGAGGAAGGACGGAGCAACAATGGCCGCGCCCGGCCCGCCAGCGAGGAGGCGAGCGCGCAGAGACCTCTAGCGCCCAAAGGGAGCGCGGCACTGCGCCCCGCCGCCGCCTTTGCGCTCTGGTGGGGGAGGAAAGCGCCGCTGGCTGGACCCTCCCGCGTCCCGCTTGTGGTGCGCGGCCTCCCCGTTTGCGTCCACCGGGCGGGGGACCGTCCTCGCTTCGGTTGAGGCAGCCCCTCCAACCCACGGTTCGCTTCACCGGGTAAACTTACTATTCTCTAGGTTTATCACATCTCGTAAACCAGTGGTTCTCAACCTTCCTAATACCACGACCCTTTAATACAATTCCTCATGTTGTGGTGACCCCCAACCATAAAATTATTCCTAAAACCATTGAAAATATGTGTTTTCCGATGGTCTTAGGCGACCCCTGTGAAAGGGTCGTTCGACCCCCAAAGGGGTCCCGACCCACAGGTTGAGAACCACTGTCGTAAACCTTTCTTTTTTTTTTAAATTTGATTTATATGCCGCCCTTCTCCGGAGACTCAGGGCGGCTTACAATGCGTTAAGCAATAGCCTTCATACTTTTGTATATTTATACAAAGTCAGCTTATTGCCCCCACAAACTGGCTCCTCAATTTACCTACCTTAGAAAGGATGGAAGGCTGAGTCAACCTTGAGCCTGGTGAGATTCGAACTTACAGTAATTGCAGACAGCTGGTGTTAATCACAATGCTTTCAGTCTGCTGAACACAGCAGGCCCGTTTGATGGGAACCTTGATGGGAAAAGGAGGGGGGGGTTGGTGCGCATAAACCGTAAAGGAGGCAAGGATGATGTGAGCTCGTTAGGTAAGTAACAGTAACAGATTTGGAAGGGACCTTGGAGGTTATCTAATCCAACCCCCTGCTCACTCAAGAGACCTATACTAGGGAGGACGACGTGGCGCGAGCAAGAATGACTTTAAGGCAACGAGGAAGGAAGTAGATGGGTAGTCCTCTGTTTACAACTTTAAGCCTGGTGGGACTTCAATTCCCAGCACATAGCGCTTATAAGCAGTATCCTGAATAACGGGAAGCGAGCTTCCTATAATCTCTGCTGTCCTTACCACTCTCTGTATGGACTTTCTATCTGAGGCACTGTTGCCACCAAACCAAACAGTGATGCAGTTTGTTAAAACGCTCTCAATCATGCCTCTGTAAAAAGTGGCCAGGAAAGAAGGCAAAAGATGTGCTCTCCTCATCCGACATAGGAAATGCAGACGCTGGATTGCATGCTCCACTAAGGGTGACATGTGGTGAGACCAGTTCAAACCTATTCTCTAGGTTTATCACATCTCGTAAACCTTGATGGGAAAAGGACCAAAGGGGAATTTGGTGCACGTAAGCCATAAAGGAGGCGAGGATGATGTGAACTCGTTAAGTAACAGTAACAGATTTGGAAGGGACATTGGAGGTCATCTAATCCAACCCCCTGCTCACTCAGGAGACCTATACTAAGGAGGACGACGTGGTGTGAGCAAGAATGACTTTAAGGCAACGAGGAAGGAAGCATATGGGTAGTCCTCCGTTTACAACATGTCTATGGAGACTGTCAGTCATCCAGGTCAGGGGTCTCCAACCTTGGCAACTTTAAGCCTGGTGGACTTCAACTCCCAAAAAAAGCACCTTTGGGGACGTCTATTTACAACAGTTCTTGTAGGGACTGTTCAAAGTTACAATGCCACTGGAAAAAAAGGGATTTATGGCCGTTTTTCACACTTACGACCATGGCAGCAAAACTCAAATGTTTCATTTAGCAAACATTTGGGCTCAACTGTGGTCATAACGACAACTTATGGACTACTTGTAATGTTAGGGTTTAAGGCAGGGGTGAAATCCAGCAGGTTCTGGAGAATTGGTAGTGGAAATTTTGAGTAGTTCGGAGAACTGGCAAATACCATGTCTGGCTGGCCCCAGATTGGGGAGGGAATGAAGATTTTGCAGTATCCTTCCCCTGGAGTGGGTTGGGAATGGAGATTTTGCAGTATCCTTCCCCTGGAAGGAGGGGGGAATGGAGATTTTGCAGTATCCTTCCCCTGCCATGCCCACTAAGCCACGCCCACAGAACCGGTAGTAAAAAAATTTGGATTTCACCACTGGTTTAAGGCATGATATTTATTAGGCCACTGTGTTTTAATGGCCTTTCCCTCCCGGAGGAAATGAGCTGGAGGTCTTTGTTTATTTTAATTCCGACTTTATTATTTTTAAAAATAAGGTAGTGAATATACCTCCTACTCCTGTTTTCCCCAGAACAACAACCCCCAGTAAGGCTTGGGGCTAATTGGCCACTCTCTTAGCCTATTTAAGGAAGGACGACGACTGAGGCAATTTTCAGGGAACAACTTTGTTCACTCTTCTTCGCGTCTTGATCTTAGTTCTCTTATCAGTTTCCTGCAAATTGCTTCTGGGCTTTCTGCCAACCATAGTAAGATTACGATTATTTATTCTTTGGATTCTTGTAGGCTGTTAAGAAAGTTAATTAACAGCCTTTGTTTGGAAAAAAAACTGATTTAATTTAGTAAACTAAGGTTTGTACAGACTTTGTGTGTGCTGCGTTCTTTGGGGTCCGTAGCTGGGGCAGAATACTTGGTTGTTTAACCACTACATGAAACAAAGTCTTAAAGATACATTACAAATTACTAATAAACTTGGGAAAAATTGAGTTTCACTGAAGAAAAGTAACTAAACAAACAATAACAGTGTATTAAACTAGTTTAAAATTAAACCGATCCGTATAATACCCCTGATTCTGTGTAATTACTACATACAGGGAAATGAATCTGTTGAGAACAATCTATGTCCAGTCTACAACAGTCCTTTCAATACGGTAGTTCCAAGGCGCCTCCACACCCATTTGCGCTACTCAGGTGACCTCCAGGTGGCCTCAACGACCCTCTAAAAGGATGCAAATGACCAGCTGTCTGCAAGGAGACAATCTTTCCATTCCCCACCATCCAGTCAGAGCTGAAGAAGCTTTTTGGATGAGAAGTCTTCAAAGAAAACCAAGAAAGTCCAATTGCTTCTTGAAAAAGCACTTTCGAGACAACTATGACCTGGATGACTGAGAATCTCCATAGAATCTGTTGAAAACAATATATGGCATTCATAGCTAGTTTTGCAATAGAACTGCAAAATTCTGCAGAATAGAGAGAGGAATGTCTTTAAAATTAGCTTATGTATTATGCGTTTATTATAGCATCTTTAGATAATATTTAATTTATAATGTGGATTAGGTTTTAAATAAGGTACAGATAGTTCTCTATGACTATTATTTAGTGATTGAAGTTAACAACACTGGTCTTCACACTTAGTACTGTTGCAGTATCCCTGTGGTCCAGGAGTGGGTTCTAATTTTTTTTATTATCGGTTCTGTGGGCATGGCTTGATGGTCATGTGACTGGGTGTGGCTTGATGGTCATTTGACTGGGTAGGCGTGGCCAACTCAATGTCACTCACATCAAGGGGTGCCTTGCCTGGCCCCTCCCCTCCCAGCCATTCCTTGTCACACCCAGCCTCAACGTATCTGTAGTTCTGCAAAAATATTCACCTTTTTTCAACTTTATTATCTACATACTATAGATGCACTTTCATGGACCACTGAAAGGAGGAAATGGCTCACATGCTTTGCCCAAGGGTGTGATAGGCAACAGGCTTTTAAGGGGCTGCCAGAAAGAAGGGGGGGGCAATATATTTTCCAAAACACCAGAAGGCAAAACAAGAAGCAATGGATGGAAACTGAACAAAGAGAGAAGCAACCTGAAACTAAGGAGAAACTTCCTGACAGTGGGAACCAATATAGGTGTAGAAATATTTCAGTCATAATTTCACATATAAAATAGCCATTCGTGTAATACAACCTGCATATTGTTCAAAACAGTCATTAGTATTATGGCTGATGTTTGACAGCAAGCCTAAAAGTCAAAGATCACAAAAGTGCTTCTTTCTCTGTATGTATACAAAACATCACACACCAGGAATAGCATATTAAGATGGACTGGTCACATGATCAAAATTCAGGTGCTTGGCAACCATTATGTATTTACCATAGTTATCATAGCATCCTGGGGTAATGTGATCACCATTTTTGTGATCTTCCCAGCCAACTTCTGACTGGGAAGTCAAGGGGGGGAGGCTGGATTCGCTTAGCAACTGCAAAATTTGCTTAATGACCACAGTAAAAAAAGTAAAATTGGGTGGGACTCATTTAATGACTGCATTGCTTAGTGAAGAAGTTCTAATTCCAATTATGGTCTTAAGCCCAGGATTACCCATATTTATTTGGAAAAAAATGTATATCCTACTTTCTCTTTTTCATATATGAAATAGATTCCTCTGGAGTTATATATGCAGATTTAGGAAAAATGGACAATATAACCATGTACATAGCAATTGTTTTGATTTGTGCTTATTTATTTGAAATGAAATCTTGTGATATTTAGTGGAGAAAGGAGCATAGAATTTCAATCTTTCCTTGATGGAAGGTCATTGGGAGTCTAAATTCTGGAGCACAATAAGAAAATCTGTGCCACTGAGTGGGGAAAAAAAAGGCCAAGGTACATAAATAACTGCTTGTTTAATCAGCATTTTTATGCTGGTTTAACCACCAGTTATATTTTGATGAGGAAGCAGATAAATGTACAAGAAGTGAACTTTAGCATCTTCTATGGCAGGGTTTTGCCAACAACTGCATTATAAAAGACTATTCAGATTAGGAACATTTTTTTGCTGTGTACGAGACATTTTACAGTCGGTTAAAATTCTTAACAGATCTCGGCCTTGTACCTTTTACTGCTCTGCATGTAGAAATCATTCCTTTGAAGCCACTCTTATCATTTTTTTGTATTTGTATGTGCATGTATTTTATCCATCAGATGGCTTTCAAATTTCTCTGCATGGTCTTGAAGGGAAACCTGTGAGTTGCTCATTCCTAAAAGGACTTGAGTCACCCAGAACAAGACTGCTGGACATCTATTTGC